TTAAAAGAAAAGACTTTAACACTCTCTTACCACTATTAAATTTCTCTCTCTACTCACACACACACACACATATATATATACACACACACATACTATATATATATATATATATATATATATATATATATATATATATATATTTCCTTTCTTCTTCATTATTGCCGGCGACGAAGAAATCTTCATTATTGCCGGCGACGAAGAAACTATGCCACCGATATAATACACAGCAACCACAGAAAGGTTCTTATCACAGCCGAGCCATTGTCCTAACTGCCCGCCGTTCAATTGCAAGAACAGTTCACTGCCCGCCGTTCAATTGCAAGGACAATTCACTGCCCGCCGTTCAATTGCAAGGACACACTACCATTCAACCTTCAGTCCTTACTCAGTTGCGAGCTTCGCCGGACTGAACTGAACTTCACCGGAGTTGGGATTGCCAGACTGAACTGGGTGAAGCGATCTCCGGCGAGTTACAAAACCGATCTCGCCGTTTCTCCACCTCGACCTACCACCACCATGGCCGACCACCAACCACTATCCACAATCACCCTTTGCAAACAACACCACTAGCAAGCCCAAGATTCAATTCAAAAAAAATAAATAAATATATAAAATGGTGTAATTGCAGGGTCTGTTTGGGATAGCAGAATGAAGATTGATGAAGTCGAAGGAGGTATCTAAGTCTTCAACCCAAAATCTGAATCATGTGAGGAGGTAGCAATTTGAGTCATAACCTTGCCGGAAAACTCCATCTCCGTCGATCTCAAGGTTCATAAACGATCAGCTCACCGCCGACAATTCCTCCCCCATAACTCGCCGAAAACCCGACTCCATTCATTGTTTTTTTTTCTTTTTTTTTTTCCAAATCAAATCAGGGAAAAAAATTAGGATGAAAATGTAGAGATAAAACGCATCCTAACATTGAATGGACATGCTGGTCTCTGTTTTTGTTTTATCTATTACCATCTAGAACCGGCGACGAAGAAAGAGAGGGTTAATGGCGAGATTATTAGAAACAGAGAGAGATTTCCAAAAACAAAATTCCAACTAGAGAGATTTCCAAAAAAAAAAAAAAATCAACTAAAGAGATTTCCAATTGAGAGAGGGAAGGTTCTACAACGAGAGGGGGATTTCAGATCAGACGGTAGATTCAACGGCGACTACACAGCCGTAGATTCAACGACATTTGGACTGAACTTAGGATTCCTCCTTTTTTAGTCCGACGAGCAACGACTTGTTTGGCCACCATCTTTTGGTGCGTGGATTAATACTGTGAGCTCAATTCTGACGACTTACAAAGTTGAAACAATCGATGAATGGGGTGTTCTGGGTTAGGTGATATGAGGACACGGTTAAACTTTTTGAGTTTATAAGTTAAGGGTAATTTTGTAAATTTGTATTGGTCAATGAGGCTAAAAATGTCATTTCAAGTAATAGAAGGGCAAATTTGACCTTGTACAGATTTGTTCATGCTGGCATTGTCAGTTGGTTAATGGTAGGGGGTAATTTGCTACATAAATCAAAATCTCAAGGGAGGTAAGTGGAATATTGAAACATAGAAGGGGTGTAAGTGGAAAATAAACAAACATTAGGGGGTGTAGATGGAATTAACCTCCTTTTATTTATTTATTTATTTATTTATTTTAAAGTTGCATCACTAATTTAATAGAGTTGGAACAAGAGATAATTTTATTCTGAACGCAAGTGGTCATCTAACATAGTGCAGCGCATTTGTTCATTATAAATTTGTATATAATATACTCACAGAGTACATATGTAAAATCCCCGCATTCTATCTGTTTAAATAAATGTAAAGATATAAAGGCTAACAATTTGTTTGGCTCACAAAGTAGTCTGAGGTCGCTGCCCAACGAACGGCTGACCTGAAACGCGGGCTTGCCAGAGTCCTAATGGACTCAAAGATTTCTTGCTAAACTATTCCTATCGGGTCGAGTCATCGACCTAATGTGATTCAGGTGAAAGTTGGAGAGTAGGAATAACTCTCTCCTTAAGGTTGTTATTACCTTTAAGAAAGAACTTTAAACATTCAAGATAGATATCAATTAGAAGCAAATTAATCGAGCAATAAATATACATGATCTACAAACCTTTCTTCATTGAACTTGACTGATTACAATGATGAATGAATTATAAACTCTTAATTGAAATGGAAACTAAAGTATTGAATGCTGAAAGATGAACTAAGCACTAAACTGATAGTGATAAATTGAACTTGAGTAAATAAAAACTAAGTGCTAAGTGATATGAATGCTAAAGGCTTGAACTTTAGAAATGGTGCTGGACCCCTTCCTTGTGAGACTTGAGTGGGTATGTTGTCCCTTTCAAACTATTTCTCTAGAAATTAATTAGTTATAAGTTGAAAACGACTTATCCTAACCATCTTGCTGAGTTGGTCAGGTTGACTAACTTGCACATCTCTCCATAGGCAAATATAAATGTGTCTGGCATAGTATTTTTTTACTAAATGGTACATCTTCTTTCATGCTTGATGATTTTTGTCTTTAGGCCATTTTCAACTCTCTGAACCTGTCATGCCTAGCTTGATCTGTGCATTGGCTTGGAATCATCTGATTACTGACAATTCTGACTTTCTTCATCAGATGTAGGTGAGAACCTTCCATCTGTAGTTCTGAATCTCCAGACCTCTGACATGGTCAAGTTGTCCTTTTCTATTTCAAACTTTTTTTAAGTTTCCAGACCTGACTTGTTGGGTTCTTGAAACATTGGGATTCACAGCCGTCCTTCATTTGAATTACACCAAATATTCTTTAAGTGACTATGACCCAAAGAGATATTAGATCCATCTTAATCTGAGCTTATCCATCAATTATGCATACTCTCGATCATTGGTAAAGACTCTTGACCCTGGTTGGTCGAGAAAGTTTCTTAGGTCAAAATGATTGAGAGATAAATGCCCGAAACTTCTGATCATGACCATAGTTGGCTATGAGTCTTGATTATGATCATAGTGACTAAGAGTCTTTGGTCATGGCTTAGTGACTGAGAGATAATGGTCAAGGCTCCTGATCATGGCTATAGTGACTGAGAGTCATGATCATGGCCACAGTGACTAAGAGATATAATGGTCGAGACTCCTGATCATTGTGACAGTCCTAATCATGGCCATAGCGATGGAGACTCCTGATCTTGGTTGGTTATAAGCTCAATACCTTATCTCAGTCCTAACGGCCTAAGAGTTCCATTCTTCTTAACTCCTGACCTTAATTCTGATCATCCTGATTAGAAATTAATCTTTCGCCCCGATGATCATGGGCTGACCCAGAATTCAGACCTCGAAATTTTTTACCACCTGGCATGATTACTTCGGATTATATTTTAGGTGTTAACACCATTATGTGAATATGTGTATATATTATGTATATGTATTTATTTAATATTAAATCAGTAATGCAGTTAAACCTAAATTGAAAATTGTTGGCTAAATAAATGTAAGTTGGACACCAAGTGGTGATCTTACATAGATTTTCAAAACAATTTTTTTCCCCCATAAATAAACTTATTAAAAAATTTATTCATATATATAACCATAAAAGCACGAGCTGTTTTCTTTTCTTCATTTTGGAAACCAGAGGGTCTTCCACCAAGACACCACAACCAAGTGTGTCTGTGTGTGTTACTCACGTGTATTTATAGAAATTTGAATATAAGGGGTGTACTTATTTAGAAGATGAGTAGGGACCACGCAATTTAAGTCCTTATCACCATACTCAATATATGGGGTGTACTTATTTTGAAGGTCAGCAAGGACCGGAGAAATACATTCTTTATCACCATACTCAGGTGTATAGATTTTTTTTTTTTCGTGAATGATATATATTTTCTGTAAAGTTTATTTGCAAAAGTAAGATAGTAATACAATCAAATTTTGTTACCATTTTGGGTTGTATTTTTTTTTTTTTACGTGAATGATATATATTTTCTGTAAAGTTTATTTGCAAAAGTAAGATAGTAATACAATCAAATTTTGTTACCATTTTGGGTTATATTTGGCCAAATGACCCACCTTTTTAATTATCCATTTTATATATAAATCTACTTAAAATTCCAAAAAAAAAAAAAAAAAGTAACTTTTTGGTTCTGTATGCAACAAGAATTGAAAAAGGAAAAGTGTTTCATGTTTTATAAAAGGAATATTATAAAAATGACGACACCTAACCTAGCGATTGAATGCCTCGCATAACTGTGAGCTCTAAACACAATTGTACTATTACTTATAATATTATAAAAGTGACCACACTTGGTCGTCATCTATCTCACTTAGTTGTGGAGTTCACACACAATTTGTATTATTAATCATATAAATTATAAAAGTGACCGGCACTTGACATTGAATGTCGGCACATGTAACATTGTTGTTTATGAAATTGAGTTTAGTAAGATAGACTTGAGGATTAGGAGATATAAGATATTAACTTGGCGGATGTTGACACAAACATGACCTTGATAAAGTCGTTTATGCTTAAGTATAATCGATTTCGAAATATTAATCCATAAATTAATATTTTTTCCAATTGAATTTTCTAATTTCTTTTTTCTAGTGAAGTGATATTCACACGCTCTAAAAACACTTATATTTTTAATTGCTTACTCTTAAAAAAGAAAAACAAAAACAAAGAAAATAAGACCATTGTCCTCAAAACCACTTTTCAAATGGAAGCTAATTATGAATTAATAATGTACAAGTGTACAACCCAACTCCTCTTTGACCCTATAAAGTGAAATACCCACTATGACCCTAGCTTTCCCCAACACACAATTCCCACTAAACAAACCTAGCTCAAGCTTTCGTCTCCCTATTAACTTTGTATTATTAACTCATAATGTTGTCATTTACCTTAACTACCTCACACGTGTCATCCCCTCGTCAATTTCACCAACAAAGTATCACTCTACATGTCGCCATACCATTCCATTTTTTTTTTATACAGATTCTCTCCCTCTTGTATCCCTCTCCTACTATATCTACTGAGCATACCTTTCGCACCCACCATAACACTTCAACAAATCTCTCTCTCTCTCTCTCTCTCTCTCTCTCACACACACACACACATTCTCTCTCTAAAACCAGTCATGAATAACCTCACTACTTCCTCTCTCCTCCTCATCATCCTCATCCTTCTCCCTGTATCAGCATATGCAGGGTGCACGTGCGAGACTGAAACAGGGGATCATGACAAAACAGAGGCACTCAAATTCAAATTAGTTGCCATAGCTTCAATTCTCATTGCCGGCGCAATTGGGGTGTCTCTCCCAATCTTGGGCAACATAGTCCCCGCCTTTCGCCCCGAGAACGACGTGTTCTTCGCCGTGAAAGCCTTCGCCGCTGGTGTCATTCTGGCCACCGGCTTTGTCCACGTGCTGCCTGACGCGTTCGAGAGCCTGACCAACCCCTGTTTAGGGGACAACCCGTGGGGCAATTTTCCGTTCACCGGATTCGTGGCGATGGTTTCGGCGATTGGGACGTTGATGGTGGACTCTGTGGCTAATGGGTATTACAAGAGACTGCATTATAGTAAGGCAAGGCCTGTGAATTATGCGGATGAAGAGAGACAGGGTGAGCATGACGGGCATGTTCAAGTTCACACACACGCCACTCATGGACATGCACACGGGTCGGCGGATTCGGGTTCGGATCTTGTTAGGCATCGGATTGTGTCACAGGTATCATTTGTCGATTCATCCGAATAAAGTACGTGTTAGAATTGGTTTAATTCGTTGTGTATACTTTCACTCTTTCCATTCATATTTAGCATTAATGGAATTTATTCTAAATTTAATATTTTATTAATTTTTTAATTCTTCATGAGATAGTAATTTGTTCTTGAAGTTTCCCTCATTTATTAGCGTACAATTAGGCTTAAAAAATTATATATAGTCTTAAATTTAAATGTTTAGTCTTTATCAAAAGGAAACAAAAAAAATTGAAAATCCCCTATAAATATTTTTGGGTTGTGATTGGAAAATCATGTAAATGTAGGTCAATCTCAACATGAGATGCAAATAAATAATTAAATATCTGTGATTCGGAACACGGAAGAAACATAATGTTTCTGGGCTTTCAGTTTCTACGTAGCAAACAAATTGCTACCAACAAGGGTTGGCATTTGTAGGCCATTTAGGCCCCATGTGGAAACTTCATTGCCTTGAATTTAGAATTTTTTTTTTTTTTTTTTTGTTTGGTAGATAAATTAGTCACACAAACACATAAAAATATGGATATTTAGTTTGTGTAGAGGGAATGTTAATTATTAAAATGAAGTTAATACTAGGAGTATATACTAGTATTAACCAAACAAATTACTGTACTTAAATATGAGTGAACTGGAAGTTACTATATTACCCTTTCCTTTTCACTAGCAGTGGCATTGGACTAGTAAAAGTAGTGTGCATTGACTCGTGTTCATTAACAGAGTACAGACAATGGCAGAGCATTCATGTCTTTTGACTTCTCCTCCTCCTTATGGGGCTCATGAATGAGGATAATTTATTGTTAGATTAGAAAGAATGATATATATATATATATATATACAACATCTATCTATATATATTTATTTAAGTAAATTGTATATTTAATTTTCTTACTGTCACACTAAATTGGTTTTGGAAATAGTAAAATAAATTTTAAGTTGAACACTCTTACTGAATCATTTATGATTATTTAATACATTCATGTGTGAACTATGTTGATTCCACATGAATGCAACACAAGGCCACAAATGAATTCGTTAGTCTTTTTCTTGAATAAATAATTAATCATTAGATTTGTCAAAGTAACTTTGACATTCTCATCTTTATAAACATTGTTTGGATACAGGTTTTGGAGCTGGGCATTGTGGTTCATTCTATAATTATTGGCATATCTTTGGGTGCTTCTGAGAGTCCCAAAACAATCAAACCACTTGTAGCAGCATTGACCTTCCACCAGTTCTTTGAGGGCATGGGTCTTGGAGGTTGCATTTCCCAGGTACAACTTTGAAATTTTTACTACTGATTTATTGATAAAATGGGACCCACTATGAGAAAGCAATAAATCTTTTATGGATTACTAGTGGGTCCCAATTGCTTGTGAGTTTGATGGCATCAGTTTGAATGCATGCACCACTTCATACATGGGCACCACTGTAGATTTGGAACATTAGTAGACTCTAACATTGATTTGTGGTACCTATGAACTCCACCATCAAATCAACGGCTTCACCTTTTGATCAAATTAAGAAAAATACCATTACTCTTTCAATTGTACCTCTTTTATTTTGAAATGATTAGTGTTTTTTAAAATCTTTTTAGAATTCCAAATGGAGATACATATTGAGTTTATATATATATATATATATATATATTTGATCAAAGTTCAAATAAAGGTACTATATATTGTAATGTGACTAACATTGGATGGATTTCAACCATCAACAACAAGCACTTTAATGAAATCCATAGTTATAAATATCTTTGATAAATTATTTTATATATATATTTTTTTCACTTTTAATTCGAATACTCCAATCCTGTATTATCGGACATATCTTTAACTGTCTGTATTTAACTTTTTTGTAGGCCAAATTCAAAGCTCGAGCCATCACAATAATGTCAATTTTCTTCTCCCTCACAACTCCAACTGGAATTGCAATTGGATTTGGGATTTCAAATATATACAATGAGAGTAGCCCAACGGCTCTTATTGTTGGAGGTGTATTCAACTCTGCTTCAGCTGGAATTTTGATATATATGGCACTGGTGGACCTCCTTGCTGCTGATTTCATGCACCCTAGAATGCAAAGCAGTCCAAAGCTGCAGCTATGGGCACATCTTTCACTTCTTCTAGGGTCTGGTTGCATGTCCCTCTTGGCCAAGTGGGCCTAAGACAGCTCAAAATTTTTGGCATTGCCTCCTTACTATTTTGTTCTGCTTTGCAAAACATGTACCAATTATGATGCATATGTAAATTTTGATGTTACCATGTTTTTCTTTTTCATTGAAATGAAGGAGGTTATCAGAATTTCAAAAATTAGAATTTCTTTTTTTTTGACAAGTATATGTTGATGTGACAAAATTATATGACGCTGGCGACAAATTATCAGGAGGGTTGTTTATGTGAAAAAATACAATGGATAAATTATTAACTAAAAAATAAAGGAGGGTTGTTTATGTGAAAAAATACAATGGATAAATTATTAACTAAAAAATAAAAAAGTAATGGTAGAAAATTTGACAATAAAAAAGGTTGGTGTAATTTTGACACAAAAAATAATAATGATATCACGATGGTGTCTGCTCCCCTATTTAAATATTCCCTTCGTTTTAAATTTGTAAGTCACAGTTTTCAAAAACGACACTTAATTTAAAAAAAAAAAAAAAAGAAGTATATGAATTGTCGTTGTGGGGCAAAAAAAAAAAAAAAAACAAAAATTTGACAAAATTTGTCTTTGAATGGGGGCTCGAACTACATGCCAAGCATGATGGATAACGTTGTGCACTCATGTAACTTTATAGCTTTCATTCTTTTCTTTTCCTTATCTCTCCCTCTCTCTTTTGTAGCTTTCATTATTTTCTTTTCCTTATCTCTCCCACTCTCTTTTGTTCTCCCTCTTTCCTTTCCTAATTTTTTTTTGGGGAATATTTTCTCTCTATTTCTTATTTATTATTCTTATTCTTTCTCTTTCCATTTTTTTTCTCCTTCCTTCTTTCCTAACTTTTACTTCCTTTCCCCTTCTAAACACCACATATATAAGTGGTGAGGTAGAAATAGTAATAAAAGCAATAGTTCTAGTATAATAACTAGCAAAAATGATACTGATTTAAGGTTTGTTTGGTACGCGTTTTGTTTTAATAAAATAAGTATTTTGAATAATAATCGAAAGTATGTTTAGTAACGTTCATTTGTTGTAAGATTTTTGGAAGTAAAAATAAAAAAATATAGCTGGTAAAAAAGTGTTGTAAGTTTGAAAAATATAATGGTTACTTTTAAAATATCATTGAAGATTTCATCACTACAGTATCAAATGTTATAGTGTAAAAAATATATAAAAATGCCAAAATAGTTTTTATCAAACGTATCTTTTCAATGTTCACGTTACAGTACAAACAAAAACCAAAATTCCAAAAATAAAACGCATATCAAACAGACTCTTAACTAGTAGTATAATAGAACCTCCATATCCCTATTTAGTCGGATTTCGAAAAGTAGTAGTAAATCTTACCTATTTTTAACACTTTATGATATGATATGAGTCCATAAAATATAAATCAAAATTTTATAATAATAAAGCAATGGTAAGTTGCTCAAGGCGTATGTGATAATCCAATAATAAGGCATGTGTTATCTGTGACTAAAGGTTCAGATTCGAATTCTCACTCCATTAATCAATTACTTTAATTTTAAAAATAAATAAATAAAAATTTGCTAGCGGTGAGATCTTAGGATACATAATATCTTATCTTGTTATATATATATACACACACACTACATATATTTGAGAAAATAAAAGTCCGTCTTCTTATCAACTGGTACAATACTAGTTGACGACCGTTTGGTGCTTTCATGTCAATGAAGCCTTTTACAAATTGACTTGGGTCCAGAGGCCATAAATGAGTCAAAAAATTTGTACTGGAAAAGTGACAAGGCAAGCAATATATATTACAGGGTTATTTTGACTTCCCAACTGAAGAACAAATGAGGCATGTGTCCTTCGTGTCTAATTTAATTTTCACACTGTGTTTAATGGTTTGACTAGAGACTCTCTGAATGATGTTTCATTTCTTTTATTTATTAAAAATTAAAGTGATGTTTGTTAAGAGTGAAAAATAAAGTGCATGCATGTGGATCATATGTTTATAAACAATCATGAAGCAATGGGCACTAACTCGTTTTTCATAAACTTTTTAAAGTATAATGCTGTTCCAACAAGCTAAACAGTCTTATCAGTAAGACTTGTTGACGACTTGAACAATTAATGCCATTTACTTACAAAAGAAATAATAATAATAATAAAGAAATAATTATTTCAATGTTTTTTATTTTTTATATAAACCTTATGAATTATTTCAAAGCTTTAGAATTTTGATATCAACCTTTCAAGATGATTGAGATGTTTCCATACTTTGAACTAGCTAGATAAAATTTGACAATTGGGATAAAAATATAGTTAAACAATATGAAGACAGAAATTATTCCAAAACATGGGCTGAGTCGGGATTTGAATTTAGGGGTGCAGTGAAAAAAAAAACACACACGCGCACAAATATAATTTATTCAAATCAAGGAGCAAAGCAGTGATATTTTTTATTATTATTATTATTATTTTTAATTGTAAAACAATAAGCTAAATCAATGAATACCATCAAAAAATATAAACACTTTGACCAATATAAGAATTAAAATATTTTTCGGTAAAATTTTCAATTAATATAGTTGTGGGGTTTTTAAATTTTGAAAGTAAAAATTTTAGGAGACATTATATAGTAATTTTTAAATACATATGAAAATAAATTGAAAAATAATAATATATAGCAGTGGATGGGGCCAGGCCTGGGGAGCATGTGCCCCGGGCAGGGCCGGCCCAGGCTGTAGCCTAGGGCCTCCAAATTTGGGGGGCCTCAAATTTTGGCCCAATCTATATAGTTATACTAGGCCTCAAAATTTGGTCCAAAACAAAAGTTGATCCTACAAAAAAAAAAAAAATGCTGATACATAAATAAAAAAACATTGGGCCCATAATAGAAATAAAACGTTTGGGTTTATGGGCCCAATTTGGTTCAGTTTGGCTGTCTTTTAGCCACTGAATTTCTTTACCCATTTTTATGTTTTTCGAATCAACAAGAAAAAAATAAATGAAAAAACGAATTGTGTTCTAGGGCTCCTGTCCCTCCCCGAAGGCTCGAAGTGGAAGGATAAGATTTGGGTTTGTGTTTGGGAGATTAGCTTCAGTTTCATCAGGAGCAGCGCCGAAAAGATTACAAGTAAGTAACTCATTCAATAATTCCAATTTATGGTACTGGGTTCCTTTTTCGGCTTCTTATTAGGGCAGATCGGGTGAGTCTGCCAAGCTATTTTAGATTCTCGGAAGATGGCATCTTTTATCTCCTTTTTGATCAATTTGAATCTAATTTCATCGCTCTGGTTGATTATTGATAGTGAGATTGTTTGCTTTGGTTTTGACAAAGTTCTACATCTGTATAAGAGGTCATGAAGTTGATTGGTTAGAGTTTGTCTGGTTTAGAGCTGTTGAGTTGTATGGAATTATGGATTTAATTGATAACTAGTAACATCTATATATGGAGGTCTGATGAGCTGCAGAGAGGTGTTGATGAAGTTTAGAGGGAGTTAGTGACAGAGATGGAACATGGGGCATCAGATAACCTTTATATATATATATATATATATATATATATACACACATAGAATTTGATAAGGGAATGGGGAGTTATTCTCAGCTAGTGTGGGTTTCTCTGTTTAGGGTATTCTGTAATTCCATAAAGGAATAATGAATTCGAAGAAAAATATACCAGTACATTATTTATTTGGATGCCTTGAAAACAATTGTTTACTATTGTCATATTTGCATGGATAATCAAAGTGGAATTCAATCTTCCGTTCAAACTAAAACATCCATTCTTTTTCTGATTATGCACACTGCACAGGAGTACAATTATTTATTGATGGTGATCGATTTATAGTTATTAGTTAGTTGTCTTATGCACACTGCACAGACGCACAATTATTTGTTGGTGGTGATAAATTTATAGTTATTAGTTAGTTATCTTATGCACACTGCACAAGCGTACAATTATTTATTGGTGATAATAGATTTATAGTTATTAGTTTGTTGTCTTATGCACACTACACAGACGCACAATTATTTGTTGGTGATAAATTTAAAGTTATTAGTTAGTTGTCTTATGCACATGGCACATACACATAATTATATTAGTTGTAGAATTTGAAAATATCGTGTGAAAATTCCGCACTCTTATAATTTTTTTTGAGCGTGTGAAACTTAAAGGGCCTTGCATTTGAATGTTCGCCTAGGGCCTCTCAAAATTTTGGGAATCTCAGCTCCGGCCTTGGCCCCGGGCACACATTGGCTCCGCCCTTGCTCCAAAGGGTGTAGACGACCATGTTATCATAGACTATATAGATCAAATAGTGTTGAAAATGTAAGGGTAAAGTGCAATTATTTTATATAGCAGGAGTGTTTTGTGCACAATGTGTATATAGTTGGAATTTTTTTTTTTTTTTTTGCACTTTATCCAAAACGTAATTGTAAATTATTAATGAAATTGGTCAGACTAAATAATATTTTTGAAGATAAATTAGAAAAAATAAGAAAAGAAAAATACGTAGCAGAATAATGAGGGTGACCAATGGACTCTGACCTAGATGGTATAAGTTTTCTTCCCCTTCAGAGAGTTTAGGTGGATAAAAATATATAATGAATGTGTGTATTTGCTTGAACTTTTAAATATATATATATATATATATATACACACACACACACACACATGTACATCCAAGTGTGCTAATGCATTTTTTTTTTTTTTTTTCCAACAAACAAAAAAATATATATTCAATTGGGGAGAAGAGCATTTAACAATCACTGGGGCCATACGCTCCACTCGACATCACCACATTCGGTTACCAAAGTCTTCTTGCTCAATACATGAGCTACGGCGTTTCCTCCACGAGGAACCCAAACAAGGAAAGAACCCACACAATCTTTAAAGTGAGAAAGAATATCTTTGAAAATCACCATTAAACCTTCAAGAAACACTTGCGAACTATAGTAACAGTGCAATGATTAGAATTTGATTGAATAAATGTAGGGCTACAAACAAGCGGAGCCATTCGCGAACTATTGGATCCGCCGTCCGCGAACTACTCGAGCTCGACTCGATAAAGGCTTCTTCGTGTTCATTTGTTTACTAAACAAAACGAGCTTAATGAAAATATTAAACTTGTTGAGCCCATTTGGGATTGCTTCTTTATTGCATAAAAGTGCTTTTATTTTGAAAAATTGTATTTAGATGTGTTTGGTAACCATTAAAAGCGCTTCTAATGGTTACCAAATATAGCTCAATAGAGCTTTTGAATGAAGCCTATAATTTGAGGTTGAATATTTTAGGTAATTTTTTTTTATTAGACAATTTTATCCTTTTTTTATTTTTTATAAAGACAATTACATTTCTTCTTAATAAAGTTGTTATTATCAAATATGGTAACATCTATGGTAACATCCTATTAAAGGATATTACTGTAAAATTAACAATAGAAGTGTTTAAAATAATATTATTACCAAAAACATTTTAAAATAATTTTATTGTGAAGTTCTCACCAAACACCTAAAATATATATATTTTTTTACTGATAAAAACATTTTTTTTATTCCAACAGCAACCTCAAAGGGCTCAGCCACGTAATAAATATATAATATATATTATATAAAGACTGGATTTATGTTATATATTCAGCCCAACTAATTATCTAATCATCATGAACTTTTCTTAGGCCCAAATTGCCAAGCCCCAGTAGCTCAAAGCCCATGATAAATATATGATCCTAATCTCAACATGATCCACCAATCATTCACTCCAAAGCAAACCCTAGCCGCACCCAGAGCACTCAACTTCTCTGTGTCTTCGGCAGCAAGCCGGATAATAATCGTCGGCGATCATGGCGGCATGATAGATAATACTCTTCAGGCCACAAGAAGATCAGTAATATTCCATCAATGCCTAAACCAGGTTAGCGTGATTATTACTTCCATGAATATTCTGTGTGTGCAAGTTACAAAGGAACTTCATATATATATATATATATATATAGAAACTAGAAAATGTAATAGAAGTAGGAATTCAAGACATGAATAGCTAAGAGCCCAAATTTATATATATACAATGGAACTTCATATATATAAACTGAAGTGGCTTGTAATCTATAACCAGACCTGTCCTAAAATCACATTATTCATGTAGATCAATGCCCCATCTCTACTTAATTACTCGTATTGTGTGTTGTAATGTAAGAATTGTGAACTAAAAGATCTAATTCAAGACTGTTAATATGATTCCTTAGGATGGAAAGGTTGCCAGCAATGACGTATTTGAAATACTTAGAACCCCTATGCTCACTAAACAGCAAAACCCTCATAATATTATTATAATTATATATCTTGTAGGGGATTGTTTTGCTTAATTTTTAATTTTGTTTCATTTACATTAATTGTTGAAGTTTTAGTTTAACTCTTCTACTTCATTTATCTAAATGTACCCATGCGAGAAGTTAAGAGTGTTGTGACCAATGAAGCTGTGTGAGAACCGCATTCCCATTATTGGTGTTATATGAGTAAGCAGGCTGTTGTTGCCCCAGAGCTAGGGAGGGATGGGACTTGCTTTGTGCCATTTTCGGGATCCATCTGGAATTATATATTTTCTGATGCTTTCTAAACATTTTGTGTTGGAAGGTCTGATTGATTCTTGTAGAATGACTTTCAAATTTTAGATTTTGAAGTAGCAGATGAGTTGCTTGTTACTTTTGAGCCAATTTGGTCTATAAGGTGTTTGAGAGTATACCTAATTAAGACCATGTCAAATGAGCTCACTTTTTCGAGCTCAAGCTTCCTAAATTTTAGACGAGCTGAGCTTGAACACTGATGAGCGAGCTTGACTCGAGCTCAAGCAATCTCAAATGCTCTTGCTGCGCAACCGAACCAAGCTCAACGATGCCCTAGCTCGGTTTGGTTCGGTTTGTTTACAGCCCTATTAAATTGTGACTAATGTACCAAAATGAAAGCAAAGCAGGAACCATACGCATAACATCCATTTTGTTTGGACAATGTTATGAATTGTTAAGACGAATTGTTGCTAACAGTGAAAGATGAGATTATGAGTCATAATATTAAAATGTCTTGGTGTTGTGGTACAAATATGCAATTTCGGACAATTGAGACATTTCCATAATTTCAGATAAGTAATTAAGATAAGTGTGGATAGAAACCCGAGGACGAACCTAGTTGAACATTGTTAAAGATAGAAACTACTTTGGAGTGTGCACAGAGTTACAAATTCCTACCACGTTACTGTTAGTCTATATGGATCAAATTGTGTTGAAAATGTAATTGGGGATTCTTAATGAAATTAGTCTAATTAGTCAAACTAAATAGTATATTTGATGAGAATTTGGAAGAAATAAAAACTCACATTATAAGAATGATAAATAAAAGAAAAGGGCACAAAAGAGTAACCTTATGCCATATCCTTTGCATAAAAGTAAAAGATACAAATAAAAATTATATATGAAAAATTACACATTCTACATTTGTAAGTGTTGGATATAAAGAGGAAAAAAAGGACAAGTAGTGCCATAACATACTGAGCCATGTTGATCAATCAGGTTTTGAGCTGAAAGTTCTATTGTACATGACTACATGGAGAAATTAGCATATCTAACTAAAATTTATATTGTCAAATAACTCAATCAGTTGCCATTTTACGTTTTTTTTTTAAAATAACAGAAATCAACCATTTTTCCCCTCGTATTTTATTCTGAAGCACATTAAACTTGGGTTGTAAAAAGTGATAATTTTAAGTGAAATTAATCATGAACTTAATCTATTGGTATTAAAGAAATTTGTCCTGACAATATGATCAAATCAAGTGAATTTATATAAATATGTTCTCAACTATTGGAATGAGTGAATTATCAAAATTTTATCACCCATTTCAGATTTGAAAAATCTACCCTTGAAGGAAGAACCAACACATTTGCAGTTCTTAAAGGTCCCAATACCGAAAGGGTAAAAAGAAAACATATTCATCCACTTTATTACCAAGTTAATGACCTAACAAAGTTTGATAAAGAATTTTTTTCTTTTTCTAGGGAAGTGGTTTCATAAAGAATTATTTAGCTTGAAGTCAAAATACTTGTGGGGTGATTTGATTTAGTTGATCTAATGTTATAAATCAAATCTTAATTAAGATATGGTAAAATTATTATCGGAACTTGGTTTTGATATCCTTGAGATCTGAGTTCAAATTCATTGTGTGTGTCCTTATAAGTTACACAGCTCTCAAATAGCTAAATACTGTAACTATTTTACGGGTCAGTCAATCTACCTACATACATCTATACCTACAGTCAATCTATCAACATACAATTATACAACTCAAATTTGCATGAGCTTGATGTAATTTTTTACAAAGTAATGTAACTCCTGTACTGTTTCTTCATCTATGCTTGACAATTGCTAATTAAGTATGACTTGAATGAGCTATTAGTTTAATGCCTTAATCCTCTTCGTCACAACGCTGATGTCCTTTTCTTTTTCCTTTGTAGATTTGAGGTAACAATGGCAGGGGTGATAGAAAAGTTCTTCATTGCTTCGATGTTTATGTGGATAGTTCCAGTTGCAATCTTATATGGTTTTAACCACAACTTGTTCCCTGGTAAGCTAGCTTTGACTACTTACAGAAAAAGAAAAGGCTTACATTGACCACTTAAGTATCCATGAAAACAATTTAGTCTCAGATGGTTGCTAATAATGTAAAGACTCTTCTAAAGTTTTCAATATTTATTTTTTATATGTTTAAATAGAATGCCTAAACAATTGTTGTGTGATTTCATTGGAGGCTCTTTTCTGAATTCAACCACTAATTTGCATCTGACACTGTAAATCTTATTATATTCCAGCCTTTTTGATAGAGTGGCTAACTTTTCACCTATTGATATGTTAACACGTCATTTCACCTATTGATATATTTGAGAAAATCAACTAAAATGGTTCGATTATGTGCAGTGAGGACAAATAACTGCATCAGAGGAAGAGTGACATCGTCTAAATTGAGTGTAACGCTGGGGGAATGAAAAATTAAATTAACATAAGTTTGAGATAGTAATGAAAGATATGATTGGTATAATTGAAGTTATGTATAACAAAATGGTGAAAATCCATGTTATTGACTCTAACAAGTTGGGATAAGGTATATGGAGTTTAATTTTGTATTTGAGAACATGGAATCAATAGATTAGGAGTGTGGTTAACTAGGACTGTTGCAGCTTCCAGTGCAGCACACTGCATAATCAGGGGCCTATATTGTTTTTCCTTCTTGTGTTAGAGTAGCAATGTTGTCCAAAGTATGATGTCTGGATCTGGGATTGATGTATATTAGAGTGATGCAGTAGTCAAATCGATTTTGTCTGGATTATACAACTGCTGATGCAGCACATGGGAAATACTAAGGTTACCTGTAAATGTCTGCTTGGGACAGATTCAGACTATGTTATAAACAAGTAGGTGGGATGGAGAGCATAGTTTCTGGTCTGTTAGCAGGGAAATGGGGCCAAGGCATGGAAACATGAGTTGATAGATCCTTGAGTGTGTCCAAATTGGTGATTCTTTGTTTTTCTCTTTCCTTTTTCCATTTCTTTATTCTTTTAGTTCTATATAATGGTGTCCATGCAAGCCGCATTTCTGCTGTCAGGGTCACAAGTGTGTTGTCAGAATTGTAATACTTGTTGCAATACATCAACCAAATACACCTCCTCAAAGCTGTTTTCCTTTAATTCTCTTTTCCTTTCACTGTTTATTGGTCTAGAAAGTGATTGTGTTATAAAATATTGTTCTGAGACGTATGTCTTGAATGAGGGCAAGCCTTGGCGTACTAGTAAAGTTGTTCCATTGTGACCTGGAGGTCACAGGTTCGAAACAGGGCACATCCTCTCCACATGCGGAGGTATGTAATTGCGTACATCACTACATCTGACCTTTCCCAAACCCTACAGTGTCGGAACTCTAATTTGACTTGCAATTGTTATTGTACTACTGTTAATCGTTAGTAAAGTTCTCATTTGTTTGGCACAAGTTTAACCCATTTGTTCTCTTTTTCCGTTGGCACAGGTGTGACAGATTTGTCCTCCTATTCAACGACACTCCTGAGTGGATTCCTTGCTGTCATATCAGTTAACATAGTTATTGCATTCTACATATGTATGGCAATGAAGGAACCTACAGATAAACATGAACCTGATCCGTCATTTCTTGCTGAAGCCAAAGCTAGCATAAGACACCCTTTACCAAATGAAGCTGAAGATCCTTCTGAGAGACGTGAGAAAGAGGAGTAGGATATTAGGGTGTGAGTTGAGCTTACGCGTCCTTGCTAATGCTACAAAAAATACCAAATTGAAATACGGGCAAAGCGCACTGCAATATATTGATGTCATTTGCACATTTCTTGGAATTCTTGGAGTTGCAAGCTTCCCCTGTTTCTGTAAATCCTTTTGAGGTTAAAGAAATAGATGATTTTACCGTTAGCAAGGTAAATTCCCGCGTTGCTGTTTTTCATGTTGTTACAAGTTTTGTTGGATTTGTGCAAAAGCTTAAGAAGTAAAATGCAGTGTTAGGTTCACCACATTCTACAATTGATAAGGTTGTTGGCTGTTGGAATGAATATTATTGCATCCGAACCTTTTTGGCTTCTTAAAATTTTGTTTCAATTTTGTATGTTTTGTGTTTTTTGGGTAAAAAATCAATTACTAGTAACTCAGGTTTTATAATCTTGACAATTATCCTTTCCTTCCATGCCTATTTTGTATTTACAGTCAACAACATGCAGTTTCAGTCTATTTTATGTACCAAATGTTGTAATCTATAATCTACTGGAGATGAACACATTGTTATTGCTCTTAAACTTGAATAAGCATATTGTTTCAGAGAAAATGGTGCTAAAACCTGTAACAGACTATAACAGGCAAACTATTGAACACAAATGAACATCTACTCTAGTAACAATGTTCTGATTGTATGCTATATATTTCTTACTATACGATTCAAGAATTTGTTCCATTCAATCAATTATTTGTCACTAAAATGATACGTAAGATTCGGTGTTCTAAAATATTTAGGAAGAAAAAAAAAGAATAAAATTTAAAAAGTTAAAATATTTAGGAAGAAAAAAAAAAGATTAAAATTTAACAAAAATAACTTGCCTATTAATTTTCGTCAACTTATTTTACATCTTCAGCCTGATAGAGTTATCCTCGATCAAGACTTTTATCAAACACCAAAACAATAAAAATAAAAAATATATTTTACCTGAAAAAAGAAAATATTTTCCGAAATTTTTTTAGCCTTAATTCTACAATGCTCAATAGAATCTTTTTTCAACTATTATTTTATTTTATTATTGAACTTTGCTAAAAGTTCATAATTTCAATTAAACCAGATACTATCATTTCTTCTCTATATCAAACTATCTTATCACCTTCCAAAAAAAACAAAAAAAAAAAATATCTTATCATAAAAAAAATCTTCAGCATTAATGTTCACATCCGTATCCTAGTATAATCCAACCTTTGTATTCACAACAAATTGCCCCTAATATCTGATGACAGTTAACTTTGACCAATTTTTTCTTTTTTTTTTTTAAATGAAAATTCTAAAATACCCTTAATATTATAATATACCCTTAAAATATGAGATTAGTGTTTTTATTTTTAATTTTGTCTAAAGAGCATTTTAGGTCTTTCAATCTTAAAATTGACAAATTGTCCTCATTTGCACATTCACATACCCATTCATAAATATTTTTTACTAACACCTCGACAATTGACAAAAATGTCTTGAGAATGGGGAGTTATTAGATAACAGGTGATTTTGCACTTTACATTTATCTAAAAAATCAAATTACACCCTATCTATCATAAACTTTTGTAAAATTTATAAATATCTTAAATTCTTATATTTAGTTTTTTTAAAAAAAATAGGCTTAGTTTGGTTAGATAGAAATTGATAGTGAAAGTAAAAGTAAATTTGAAAGAAAATAATGATAGAAGTGAAGTAAATAAAAATAAATAAATAAATAAATAAAAAATTCTATCATGCATTTGTTTAGCAAGAAAATTTTTCAAGTGAAATTACCGATTTTACTAACATGAAACTTTCTATAAAATAAAGAGTATTAGTGTAAGTTTATAAATTGTTTTTTAAGAAATCAAAATCTTCTTATATTTTTTATAAAATAATTTTAAGTGACTATGAAAAGTAATTTTACTTTAAAATTTTATTTTTTTATTAACCAAACTCCTGAAATTAAAAAAGGAAATATATACTTTCTTTTACTTCCATCTAACCAAGTCAAGCCAAAAACTATTTTAATAGAGTTGGTTTCTCTGTATAACTTAGGCCATGTTAGATTGGCTTTTCAAACACTGTTTTTGACTTTCTGGACTTAAAAGTTATTACAAAGGATGTTTAGATAGTTCCAATTCCAAAAGTGATAATTTTTTTTTTTTTTTTTTTTTTTTTTCTGCTTAAAAGTAGAAACAAAAGTTATGCCAAACAAAGCGCTTGTATTGTCACAGTACAAATTGTCACATTGTGTATGATACATGATTAGGTATTTAGGTCAGGGTCAAAAAGCAGGTAGATGGTATATATACTTCGGTTAGGTGTCTAAGTCTAACACAACAATACTCAAAAGTAGAAGTAGATCTGATATAAATTTCTAATGCTTCGTACAAGTCTTCTACAAACGGTGGTATGGGCTTTTATTAGAAAAACCTAAACCACCCCAAATCTTCTGTAGAAAAACCCAGTAACTTGTTGCCTCGGTGACAGACAGAAGAATCAGAACCAGAGGAACGGAAGTGAAACCCTAGTTTTCTTGATTCGACAGACAGAGATGGGGAAGAAGAAGAAGAGAGCGTCATCTAAGGTTTGGTGCTATTACTGCGACAGAGAATTCGACGATGAGAAGATATTGGTGCAGCACCAGAAAGCCAAGCACTTCAAGTGCCATGTCTGTCACAAGAAGCTCTCTACCGCCGGTGGCATGTCTATTCACGTCCTCCAGGTCCACAAAGAATCAATCGTCAAGTATTCTCTTCTTCTCTCTCTATACATATATAATATCTGTATTTATCTGTTACTATATATTGTGTATATAATTTGAAAATTATGTAGAAAAATGTTTCTTTAGACTCAAAATGTGTTTTTTCTATGGGAAAACTTCCGTGAAACAAAGAGGATTAATTTGTCCTAATGAAGATTTGGAAAATTTTCATGTAATTTAAGGTAATTTTGTAAAACGGGTCTCTCTGTATATGCAAATTTATGAAATAGGTCTTCCTACTAAACATTTCTTTACTAAATATTCTCATTATTTAATGGCGTTAAGAAACCTTTTATGGTATGTTCTGTTACTATAGACACAATGATTATAGACACAGTGATGCGTTTGATGGTATAATTCGTTATTGTTGTTGTTGTTGATGATGATGATACTATATCTTTTTCCCTATTGTTGTGAAATTTTCAAAACAATAGTGTCAAAGTTGTTTGTTTTGCTGAACTTTATAAGACTAGATGCTACTTGCAATGTTCTGCTAGTATTCTGAAGGAGGGATTCTCATATATGATGTTGATGTAATGTGAAAGATGTGGTGAAAATTGACTTGATATTCCTTTTTTCAACATTTAAGGTGGCCAAGTTTGTGTATATATATAATGGTGACATTAGATGAGTGTTTTAAAATGAGTGCATTTTTTGAGGAAATATTGGGTGTTTGACATGTATTGCTCATCATTATTGTGACTGGATAAATGTGTCTTTACTTTTACATGCATAGACTAATTGGAGAATCTTCATTGAAATTGAGAAAATACTAAAATGATTTAGAATGTTAAAAGCAAAACCATGGGTTTTCTTCCAACCATATACACATGCTTTTAATCTAGGAAGGTGAAAAGTTAAGTGCCACCTTACCAATGACATTTTTTACTGTTACTAATTAAGAAATGAGAAGCATCAATATAATGTTACTGAACTATGGAATGAAACATGATTAATGTGAAATTACTTTGCTGCATGCTTTGCCAATTATGGTTGCAATTGTCTGAATATAGGTTGCTTTACCTTTAGATCCCAGTGTTCTGGATGTAGGTGGTTTTTTCTTGCTGCTCTTCCTTTGTCGTTTTCCTTGTTAAATCTTTAAAAACTGATTATAAAATCATTACGCTGTTCTTTTATCCTTTTCTTTTGTAGTCAGTACAAGTGATATTATGATAGGAAGTACATTACTTCTGTTTTAAAGCTTCTGCAAAATCATTTTACTATTCAGTGGCAGTCTTGTGGTTGTCCTGATTTAAGGTGATTGCGACAGGGTGCCAAATGCAAAACCTGATAGAGAATCAACAGAAATTGAAATATACGGAATGCAAGGAATACCCGCAGATGTCTTGGCAGCTCATTATGGAGAGGAAGGTATGGTCCTTCTACATGTGTCATTCTATCAGTTTGCATTCCTTACTGTGTTTGTGCATCTCTATGTCTGGTTATGCATTGTCCTATTTTGAACAAATTAAATTTTCTGAATCTGTTTTCCTTCTGTTGCTTGTTAACCGTAGGAATATGAAAGGTTGTGGATTTGACAGATAAAGGGGATTGGAAATCGCATGACTTTTCTCAATTGCTAATCTTCTTGATCTTTCAAAATCTGGATCTTAAATTTGAATTCATGGGTTTGCAAAGTTAAGTTCATCTGTGTTGTGGGAGATGGACTGCCAAATTATCAATTGGAGTTGCAGTTAAATAAGTTTGACCTAACATGTGAGCCCTCCAATTTAGTGGTTTTTTTTAGCTTAATTATATCAACTTGAGGATGGTTAATCACCTAAATTTGATGAGTATTATGAGGTTGATAATTTTTTAGAAATATCTATTGACATTTGGCATCTTCAAAGAAGGGTGTAATTCGACAACTGCGGATATTTCTGTAACTCAATAATAATCTATTAATTTGTAAACTCTTTTTTTGGTGTTGAAAGGTTTGGTATGCAATCTCCTTCAATGAGTGGGCCATCATAGGTTGATCATCTTAGAGCTTAGTTGGTTGACCCGAGCTGAACTTCTGCTCCCCTTGAATTCAAATTTTTGAAAAATTACCCAAAAAATAAATTGATCGAAATCGAATAGATGAGCACAAAGTTACGACCGTCTGAAGTTTTTACCAAATAGTAAAAAATATGTCAGGGCCTATGTGATAATATAAAAGTAATAGTGTTTTGCCCTTTTTATGAATTTTTGACTGTCAGACCAGGCTTGTCGGCCACCACCTGGTGGTCCTTGTGGTGTATCACCTAAGGCCCAAGCCCGTTTGGTACATATACTGGCTGAGCCAGTTTCAGGTGCAGTCCTTGGGCCAAATTTTGATACTTAATCCCACACTCTTCTATGACTGACACCCGCTTGACCCCCCAGCATGCAGTTGAGAAAAAGAGGTTCCTTCCATATATTGTAGACTTCTACTTTAGAAGGTAGACCACATCACCAATAATTTTTTTATCTCCCGAGATTGGTGCTTACCTAAGCTTACTGGACACTTTTATTATAGAAGTCTGGGTAAGTTCTTGGTGAGGTGTTGAATTGCACTAAGACATTATCCAAGAATGTCATATCCGCCTACATTTCCAGCATGAAAGGAATTCCATTTACATATATATTACTCTTGATTTCAAGCTGGTTCTCAACTTCTCATTAGCCACAACCATTGTGTGCGACCACATTGGAGTTTTCAAATCATCAACCCTATATTTAGCTACTACATAGCTCGTCTGCTACATCATAGGACCTCCATAACCGTTTTCCTAGGAGAGCCACTTTCATGGATTTGAAAGCCTTTAATTTGAGAGCTCTTTGTCTTTTTGTAGTTTGTGATACTTTTTGTGTCTCACCAAATGAAAGTCATATCCACAATGTTTACTGCCCATTGTGTGTCTCTGTGCATTGTGATGCCGTGATCGACCTAGCAGGAATGAGGAATACAAATAAAATTGCATTGGGAAATTTGAAATTTGGTTGATGAAAAAGAAATTATAATGTCGTGTTTAGTTCTGACTAAAAGCCTGATAGGCCTTCATGATATGTCCATAATTACTTTTTTCCAATGGACAGTGAAACTTTGCAGTTCCATTTGCACTTGATTTTCATCTTTAGCAATGGGACCGTTGAACATGACATGGCAAGGGTATGGAATATGGATATGGTTGTGTCAAGCTCATCTGCTGTGAGACACTTCCTTCGATAAGAATGTTCAGTAAAGGAGTTAAGGAACATATACCTGATTCTCTAAGTTTACAAGATTGTACTGCATAGATACTAAACATTGATTGCAATTACCCATGTCAAAAAAGCATCAGAATCACAAACTTGTTTATATCCTCGTCTAATGAAGAAAGGTTGGCATGGTGGTTATTGCGTTTTGTCCCTGTGTTCTAAGTTGTAGGGATTAGACGAATTTGACACCTAGGCCTAGCCATGCCCAGGCACCTGAGACTTGTACCTGTGTCCGTCTTATGGCACATGTCTCTTTGGTGGGATAATGGTTGTGTGTTGCGACAAACAACCATGAACCAAGAACCAATCACGAAACACAGCAAAAACAAGCACCACACAGGACACTAATATTTACGTGGTTCGACACAAGTTGTGCCTACATCCACAGTGGAGATCTGGCGAAAGATTTCACTATGCGAAAAACATGAGATTATTAGTTTCACCCCCAAAACCCTAGCTCTCTCTCTCACTTCCTTCTTTGTGATTTTCTGTTTTTTCTCATCATCACACTCCAAACCTTAAATGCCCTTATATATCGGGTTACAAGAGAGTACTAAACAGTGAGGCATCACAATCACAGACACGTTGACTGACAAACCTGCAAGCAAAAAAGGGGCTTAGGCCCACACAAAACTCACTTTTCGGGTGCGACCCGGTCCGAAACAAAATTCGGCCACGTCATCACATTATGCGTGTAATGTATAACTTTTGGTGGAAAGATACATCTTACTATTTTATATTTTGCTTTCACTGTGTGGTTAACTAGGATCACCGGTCACTATTCCCGTAGTCCATATTTTTGTAGTCTTTTCTTCTTATTAGGTCACAATGCAGCAAGAAACCAGTGATGGAATGGTACTTGTGGCTCTTTGTTTGGTACTTTTTGATCCAATTTTAACTGATTTCGAAATTGATGCAACTTGCTAGTTTTTTCCACAGGAGCAGTGGTGAGGAATTCTATAGATGTTGCACCTGTTGTGGATCTTATGATGCCAATTATCTGAACTTGGTTTATCTTGTGATGTCTATTATTCTTCTTGCAGATGAGGATGCCCCGTCAAAGTTGGCCAAAGTGGAGACACCTTCCTCCCAACTTGGTGGTGTAGTACCAGGATCATTAGGCGTGTTTCCTCCTCAATCTTTAGGCACTATGCGGCCAATGTATGTTTTCTGTCAGATTTTTAGTTTTTAGTTCTTCCTGCCTGCATGTATGCTGCGTTTGGTGTTTCCGAAAAGTAGATATTTTACTGCCTATTAAGTTTGATGATATATCAAACTTTCTGACACTCTGAAAGTAGGTTAAATGCATTCTTTTTATTGTACTAATGTTTTGGGATGCTTCTAAAAGAAGCATGGGCAGCATACAAATACTTTATAATTGTATTTCATGGAATAGTATTTATGTGCTTCTTTCCTGGTTTTGCTTTTCATCAGAAAATAAGTATTTTTTTCTTTACACAACTGGCTGGGATGTTCACAATTCACATGCTAATGAGAGCATTTTATGTTATTATTTAAAATTATCTTAGATCTCCTAACAAAGCGACTTCCAGATTTATTAGCCGTACTTGAGCATCTGTGTCAATCTTTTAATTCGAAATAACCTCATTATCTTTCAGAATAGTTGATACCTGTTGCCAAAGATTTCTAGAATTCTAGGTTATTGTTTATTTGACTGTTGTATTGACTAGCTTCTTGTGGCTGCTTTTGAATATGTCATCTGCTTATCTATATGCGAATGTCATTTTATATATCTATTGCACCTTTGAAACAAAACACTTAATCTAGTTCTTACTGGAATAGTTTTCTTGGTTGTTTGGTTGCAGTTATAATCCTGCATTACCAATGCCTCCTGCTGGTTGGCCAGTTCCTCCTCGTCCCCAACCTTGGTACCCACATCAACCAGCTGTCTCATTTCCTCCTCATATGCCACTGGGATTGGCACAACAGCCTTTATTTCCAGTACAGAATGTGAGACCTCCTTTGCCATCCACTGCATCACCGACCTTTCAACCTTCCTTGCCCATCACTCCTCCAGGATTGGCCTCATCTACACCTTCTATTCCTGCATCTCAACCACTGTTCCCTGTTGTGGCTAATAACAATATACCTAGTCGAAGTTCACCATTTTCAGCTCCTATGCTTCCCACAAGTACCCCAATAAGCACTCCGGTGGAACTCAAAAGCTCAATTGACCTGCATACCAACAACATTTCTGTGACAAGTAGCTACCACAACCCAAGCATTCAAGGTATGAGTTACATTATCATTGTTGTTTGCTCTGAAAAGTTTTTGAAGTTTGTGTTTGCTATCATTTTTTGTCTTGTTTGGAACTGAACTAATGTGTGGTATGTTTTAGGACATGGTTTTTTTTTTTTGATTGTTGAATGAACTATGTTGAAATTGTGTTTTATGAAATTTTATTAAAATTTGAACTTTTGTGTTCTTGGTTGCACTAATCTTTTTATTAAGTAGCTTCTTTGCATGCAATTGATCATTGTTTTGATAATTTGGGTGGGTGAGTGAGAGATTGCAACTCGGTCCTATTGTTCAGCTTACCTCACCTTTAAACCTAATCAAAGTAAGTTTAGTATTTATTTCTGTAACTCATGGTTGTTAAAATCCCGATTCGGATACTAGGATCTTACAATCCTATGATCCCCAATTGCTAAATCGACCTGGATCGCATGAAGAATCGCTTGGAAGCTGGATCACAATATGTTTGGTAGGATGGGTATTAGGATTGTAAAATCGTGTGGGATCACTCAATCCTACCAATCCTACTAAATTGTGGTGTTTTGTTCTTTTTCTGATTTTATTTGGGCCTACAACCCATTCTTGGCAAATATTTTAAAGGTTTTAAGTATAAAGTCCAGCACTTTAGCCTAATTGCATCTGAAAAAACAAAAAAAGAACAAAAAGCTGAGAAATAACTTCAAAGGTAGGCATGATCTTGGTTCTGAATTTTAAAGATATGACTCAAAACTTTAAAACTTTCCTCTCTCTCTCTCTCTCTTTTTTTTTTTTTTTTTCTCTCTAGTTTTCAAAACAAAAAAGAAAGAGAGCTCAGTTTCCCCGCTATTATTTACCCATTCTGAAAAAAAAAGAGGAACTTCATATGTTTCCCTCTGTTCTTTCTCAATCTCTCTGTTTTGTTCTTCTTCTTCTTAACCAACAAAGAGTTTTTCCAAAAAAATTGCTCCGATAAGTAAGCAACTAAATTGTTCTTTTCTCTCATTTCTCTGTTCTTTTTGTCCTTTGTTTAGGCTTTGCCTGAATTGCTTCAGTGAAATTATGCTTGACTTTTATACTGTCACGTGTCTTACTCTCTTGGTATCTTTTAATGTTAATTGTTTTTTGCTAGAATGTTGAAGATGTCGTGTTTAGCCTTATCCTCTATTTGTTTTCAAAATAACTTTATATAGAAAGTTAGTTTAAGTTATTTTTGTACTAGTTTTATAGAATCTTACAATCCTATGATCCCAATCATATGGACCCTACATCGATCCCATGTAGAATCCCAATCATGACAACCTAGTCCAACTCAAAACCAATCCATTGACCATTTGGATAAAACCATACCAACTTATCCGAAGTTTGATTTGGTTTAGGCTTTTTTTTTTTTTTTGTTTGGTAATTGTCTTTTCAGTTAGGTATGGACACTTTGCAAAGTTTTAAAAACTAAAAGCAAACTCTTTCCCCACTCCCCTCGCTCTCTCTTCTTGGTAGATTGTCTGGATAAGCCCATACCAATCTGATTTCTCAAATGACGCCAATATCGGAAGATCAAAGTACTTGCTGAAACAGTTTCTTTTCAGATCCCTTTCCAGTTTATTGTAGAAGAATCGATAACATATATAAGTTGGTAAGTGCTTGGAATATTCATGATCTGCTGGGATTTTACAACCTAGACACAACTCGACTTTGGGGAAAAAATGTTGCCTTGGCACATGAAAATCTGGATGGTGCACCCAAGTTGCAACTCTAGGTGGAAGAAACAGTATTTAGCCAAGGGTAAATGTCTTGAAGAGTTTGCTTTCATGATCGTTTACTTATTTTTGTCTATGTCCCAGAGAATTTTTGGCTTCAGGGATGAGTTCAAGTATCATTAGGTGGCATGGGATGAAGTATCTGATAGGGCTTAGAGATTAAAAAATTGAATACCTCAGTTGAGTCATTTTAGGAAAGCGGTTATGGAGGAATGGGGGTAGACATGACTCTTGATGGAAGGTGATTGAATCTAAATTTGAATTAGACTTGGGATCGGTGATTTTTGCTATGAGATAGCAACATGGATGTGTTTTTGGAGGTTATATGCTGCTCTTGCACTAACATTCATTGAAGGGGTAATGGTCAGAGGTTAAACTTTGGCATGACGAGGGATGTGGACGAGTATTTAGAGGTTATATGCTCTTGCACTTTCATTCGGGGGCATAGTAGATTTGGCATGACAGATCGATAGGGTATTAAGTGCTTCAAGCAATATTTATTGAGCTTTTCAATTTGGCATTTGATTAAGAGGGCTTCAATTGTGGAATGTGTCTGCTTTATAGAATGGGATATTGTGGAATCTTGGTTTTTTTTGCACTTCTGAAGATTGAGTAGTGGATATGGTGATTTTCTTCTCTTTTTTTTTTTTTGATAAAGTAAAAAATCAATAAAAAGCGTTCAAAACATGTCCCGTGTACAAAAACAAAACAGGAGCCTATGGACCCAATGAGTCCAAGAGATCAACAACATTGTCAGAAGAAGAACAGTGTCTTCCCTTCGCCCAACTGAAAATGGAGTGAATGATATGAAGTTTCAAAGTTGCCGTAGACACCTCCATTCCTTCAAAACATCTGTTATGGTGATTCTCTTCTTGAGGTGTTATTCTTTTCGTTTTTTTTTTTTTTTTTTTTTTTTGTGTGTGTGTGTGTGTGGGGGGGGGGGGGGCGGGGGTTTGGTTGGAACTTGAAAGTGATGACATGGCCTTTCTATGCACTAAAGATCTTAAGGTAACTTAATTTGTGTGAGAGGTTTCTAAGAAAGCTATTCTTATCATTGATAGTAGGACCAAAGGGAAGCAGATCACAATGGATGCTACTTTATGTGCAAAGGGATTAGTCACTGCTTGAGATGCATAGTGTCACTTGTTGTTCTGGTTCGCACTTTCCTGGGCGATGATGGGGACGGTGAGGGACATATTGTCTAGTTGGAATGAGATTCTTTTATCCGACGCTGTGTGGAAAAGGTTTCTGAGCTGGCTATATTTTGTCTTATGTTAGGTATTTGGAGGGAATGGAATTCATGAGATTAATTTTTGTTTTTCATATTCCTTGTTTTTCGCGGCTGACATGTCCATGGATTCCTTCACTTGCGAGATATGCTTTTAGCTTTTTGAGTATACCTCATATACATGGGCTTTTGTGCCAGTAGTTATATTTACCTACCCTCACTTTTAGTATGAGCTAGTGTGATGATAAAAACATGCTTTGACAAGCTTGAGAACAGGACACTTTGCGCAAAATAAAAATAAATGTTTCCAGTGTTCTTGCTGCATGCCTTTTACCTTCCTTAAAAAGCGATCGCACGGGGTGCGGGGGCTTCTTATGGCTCTTCTTCAGTAATGTCCTCTCTCTCTCTCTCCCCAAGTTGCCAGCTAACAGGGTCTGCATTAGCAACAATTACCTTGAATGGGTCAAGTTGTTTTTTAGCAATCAAAATATGTTAGTGCTGTTCCAAACCCACTATGACCCTAAAGCCACTGAATTGTAAGTTACAGTTATGGGCACGTATGTTGAGTGCTCACAGGTATGTTATGGTGTTATAGTATATCAAATTGGGCATGGTTAAACTTTAGTCGAAATTGATTGGTCATTGCAATATTAGTGCATGATGTGCCATTTGGTTATTGCAGGTGGGGCACCATTGAATTCACATTCTTATGCCTCTGGCCCAAATACTGGTGGCCCTTCAATTGGACCGCCTCCTGTAATTTCAAACAAAGTTCCTGCTACACAGCCAGCCACAAACGAGGTTTATTTGGTTTGGGATGATGAGGCTATGTCCATGGTTAGTTGTTCTTTCTAAATTTGTATTCAGGATGCATTTTTGTACCTCATATTGTTGTGAACCTTTGACACTTGGTTATGATGCTAAAATATTTGCAGGAGGAAAGAAGAATGTCCTTACTGAAGTATCAGGTGCATGATGAAACTAGCCAGGTAAGTTTTAACTGCCTCTTAATACATAATATGAAGTTGCTTTGCACATCTAACCATATGGGTAGGTGTTATCTTTCTTGTTTTCCAGATTTCGGTTGTCATACATTGTTTTGCATTTATTGAGGTATTTCTGTATGTATCTCCATTGTTTCTTCCCTTTTAAAAAAGCTTATTCTAAAAAGTACACGAGCCTTTGATTTTAATCCAACTTAATCGACGGGCTATTTATTCTTCTTTTGCCATTCTCTGGTTGGCAAGCAATTCACCAATCATGGTCATCAAAAGATTCAAGTAGGTATCTACACTATCTTTACTGGTAGTTAGTAATTATTACATTTCTGACAAGCTCTCAGCGATCAACTGAAGGATTCTCCAAACTAGCATCATCCTCCATTAGGACAAGAGTGTATGTATTTGCTCTTGAGAAATGTTATTTATTTATTCATGTATATTCTTTCTATGCTTTATTCTGAGATGTTGAGGTTTGGGTGGAATGAGAATTTACCCAACAGATTTTTGCCCATTCGTATCATCATTGCACTATGTTTTTATGATCGAACAGTGAATACGAACTTGGCCCAGGTCAGCTTCTTCTGCATAGTTTTGGAATCTTTTGCATAGAAGCAAGCTGCAATATTTAAAAGGTTCTGCTATGTTATTGGTTGACATGGTCCTGTACTAATTTTTCATATACGTGGTTCCGTGTTTCAGATGAGCTCAATTGATGCAGCCATTGACAGAAGGATATTAGAAAGCAGGCTTGCTGGTCGAATGCCTTTTTAAATTAGCTGATACTATGTCTGCATGACTGGGATGTCGCTTTGGATTCAACAACAACAACAACTAGGCCTTCTTCCCAACTACTTGGGGTCGGCTACATGAAAGGGATATCGCTTTGGATCCGAAGTCAAATATTGTGGAATTTATTTTAACTTAAATGGCAAGTCTGCTCTTAATCCTTTAAATACTGGATTAAGTCTCAGCTGTTTAGATTTGTGTTGTATCCTTTAGACGAGGAGGCCATAGGAGAGCCATTTTTTCAACAATCAGTTGGGGGATACAAGTCGGAACAAAATTTTAGAGACTCGGCATTCATGTGATTTGATTTTTTTTTATTTATTTTATTTTTTTTAATTCTTGTAATACCTCCTCCTTTATTTCTTTCTTTCTTCCTTTTGGGCATTTCATCGTTCATGTCTAATGAGTTTGTGGGTAGGCCTTTGTGAACTAAAATGACAGCACTGTTAAAAGTGCTATTTGAAGAAAAAAGAAGAAAAAGATATGAGATGATATCATGTGAGGTCTTAATGAGGATTTTATTTGAATAATCTTATCATGACAAGAACTCATCGGATTGGGACAAGTTTTATGATTTGTGAAAAGTCAGATAATTGGATCATCGGATTGGGACAAGTTTTGAGATTTGTGAAAAGTCGGATGAATTGGATTCAAAATTACTCAAATTGAAGGCAAAATTCATGACTCGTCAAATGAATGAGTTCTGTTATTCTTGTAAATTACTTTACTCATTGTGCTGATATATGCTTTAAACTTACTTTTGAAGAATCATTTGAATGATAATCAATTACTGTGGATGGCATCAGTATGCAACTAAAGTAGAGAATTGATGATGTTTTTTGAACCACAAAACCATAGGTCAAGGTGAAAAACACTTCACTATGGCTCTCTGTTTGTTTGGACTTTTCTAAACAAAACATTTTTCATTTTTTATTTCTCCGGTGTTTGGCGACTTTCTATAAAATATTTTTTAAATCAGTTTTTGTTCACAGTTAATTATCTATTACTTTAGTGCTTTTTTTCCTCCCTAAACCATTTCCCTTTTTCTTTGTTACTTCTCTCTCGCTAAACCATCCCTCGCTATCCTCGTTATTTTCTCTCTGCACTCTCTCTCTCTCTTTAGAACATGCTTTTGACCCAAATATGTTCTTAGACCAATCCAAATTTGTGTCCCTCTTTTTCTTTCCTCTCTTTCTATTTCCTCTCACTCTATGTATATATACAGAGAGAAGATTAAAAATTAGATTTTAAGATTAGGAGGACTGAAAAAGATTAGTTGTGACATAGGAATTCAATAAAAATTCGGATGGTTAGATGATCGAAGGCAGCGACTTGCGAAAATTTTTTGGTAAATTATTTTCAAGTCATTTGGGGTAAAATGATTTACATGTAAAATGATTTCTTAATCTTGTAGTCTTCCAAACATCAAAAAATGAGAAAAATGATTTTCGAAAAATATTTTACGATGAAACAAACGGAACCTGTATTAAAGCAGAGTTACATTGACTTTGATTCAGATCGCTTTGTCGCTTATAGTCTCAGGCTTTCTCTTGATTACCAACTTGAATACCAAATCTATTTAGAGTAATAATACTTATACCGATGACTTAGGCAAAATTGTTAAGGCTATTAAATTTGATTGGTCATTAATACATTCAATAAGAAAGTGGAGGTCCCACTTTTTTATATTTTATATGTATTGACGAATCAAATGTAATAGGCTTAACACTTCTATCTAACTCATCGGTGTAAGTATCATTACTCATTTATTTATTGTAAATTATTGAACACCAAATCTATCTATTGTAGATTTCAGACTCGCTGTTAATATCTTACAAAAGTTACTGATCTAAGAATATGATTACTCTCTGAACAATCCTCTCCCCTATGCAGTGATCTTTTACTTTTTTTATAAAAAAAAAACCATTGATGAACGCCAAATCTATTGTAGATCTAAGACTCGCTGTTATAATCTTGCAAACGGATTGCTAATATAGAACATGACTACTCCGCAAACAATCTGCTTCCTTCGTGATCTTTTAGTTTTTCGAAAGAAAACCATTCATGAACAAATTTAATGATTAACTTCGGATAGTATGTCAAATTTTTATTTATTTATTTATTTATTTATTTTATTCTATCAAACTAAGGGGAGGGAACTCGAAAACGGGTACACCACTCAAAAAACTGGGCACTCTACTAATTAGGCCGCTGGTTAATGCCCTGAATTCAATAGAACTCTACACTATCAAATTAGTCACTATTTAAAGCAGCTCCAACATTCTAATTTTTTGGTGATTTTGGGCCAATTTCGATGAGCCCAATGCTCTAGTAGACTCGCCAAATTTCGGAGCGGTCGCCAAAAACAGTGATCCAGTTGGCAATCATGGACCTGCCATGTGCCGCCCCCCTACTTTTTTTTTTAGCCCAAATCACCGTAGCCCTTAGCCCATCATTGGGTTAAAGGTGTGTGTGGCTAGAAAAAATTCCATAAACCAATTTTTGGGGTTTTTTTTGGCCCTTTTTTTCCCTAAACACAACTGAACCAAAGAACCGTTGAGGCACTGTTTGACTGACAAAAACAGTGCCTTCAAGGGTTTTTTGGGCAAAAAATGGTAAATAAAAATAAAAAAAATAATTGAAATTTGTTGTTTTTAAAACTTTTTCAAGATTTCTAGTGACATTATAGTCATTTTAGGCACTATTTAGCTAACAGAAACAGTGTCTTAACGGCTATATTAAGGCCAAAAAAATATGTCTTATTTTTTATTATAAAAAGTTAATTTTTATTTTTTTAAAATACCTTTCATTTATCCTCTATAAATACATCAACCCCTACCATCATTCATCTCACATCCAATCTATCTGTATTCTCTACCCTTTCAACCTACAACTAAAACCTCCGAGTAATTTTCTTAGTCTTTTAGTTATGTTTTTATTACAAATACAACTCTTAGTTCACCTAATCAAATGATAATTGTGATCCCTTCTTACAATTCTTTAGAGAAGAATATCAATTTCCATCTCATCAACCATCCCAAATTTTCAACATTCCTACTTAAGTGCCACAATCTAGTAACTCCCAACCTTTTAGAAAGCAAAGGGTTAGCCAACCTCCCAATTGGTCAACGGTCGAAGATGAGGGTTTTATGTTATGCGTGGTTGGCTATTAGCTCTGATGTAGTAATCCGTTCAGACCACTAGAAGGCAGTGTTATGGACAAGCATGGACCTACAGAGGGACTCAGGGGACAATTGCCCCCCAGATATTTTTTTTAAGTAATATACCCTATTAATTTGTTTTCTTCAACTGTATACCCTTTAAATATTACCATTGCCCCCCTAATATTATTAATATTATTTAGAACATGCTTTTGACCCAAATATGTTCTTAGACCAATCCAAATTTGTGTCCCTCTTTTTCTTTCCTCTCTTTCTATTTCCTCTCACTCTATGTATATATACAGAGAGAAGATTAAAAATTAGATTTTAAGATTAGGAGGACTGAAAAAGATTAGTTGTGACATAGGAATTCAATAAAAATTCGGATGGTTAGATGATCGAAGGCAGCGACTTGCGAAAATTTTTTGGTAAATTATTTTCAAGTCATTTGGGGTAAAATGATTTACATGTAAAATGATTTCTTAATCTTGTAGTCTTCCAAACATCAAAAAATGAGAAAAATGATTTTCGAAAAATATTTTACGATGAAACAAACGGAACCTGTATTAAAGCAGAGTTACATTGACTTTGATTCAGATCGCTTTGTCGCTTATAGTCTCAGGCTTTCTCTTGATTACCAACTTGAATACCAAATCTATTTAGAGTAATAATACTTATACCGATGACTTAGGCAAAATTGTTAAGGCTATTAAATTTGATTGGTCATTAATACATTCAATAAGAAAGTGGAGGTCCCACTTTTTTATATTTTATATGTATTGACGAATCAAATGTAATAGGCTTAACACTTCTATCTAACTCATCGGTGTAAGTATCATTACTCATTTATTTATTGTAAATTATTGAACACCAAATCTATCTATTGTAGATTTCAGACTCGCTGTTAATATCTTACAAAAGTTACTGATCTAAGAATATGATTACTCTCTGAACAATCCTCTCCCCTATGCAGTGATCTTTTACTTTTTTTATAAAAAAAAAACCATTGATGAACGCCAAATCTATTGTAGATCTAAGACTCGCTGTTATAATCTTGCAAACGGATTGCTAATATAGAACATGACTACTCCGCAAACAATCTGCTTCCTTCGTGATCTTTTAGTTTTTCGAAAGAAAACCATTCATGAACAAATTTAATGATTAACTTCGGATAGTATGTCAAATTTTTATTTATTTATTTATTTATTTATTTTATTCTATCAAACTAAGGGGAGGGAACTCGAAAACGGGTACACCACTCAAAAAACTGGGCACTCTACTAATTAGGCCGCTGGTTAATGCCCTGAATTCAATAGAACTCTACACTATCAAATTAGTCACTATTTAAAGCAGCTCCAACATTCTAATTTTTTGGTGATTTTGGGCCAATTTCGATGAGCCCAATGCTCTAGTAGACTCGCCAAATTTCGGAGCGGTCGCCAAAAACAGTGATCCAGTTGGCAATCATGGACCTGCCATGTGCCGCCCCCCTACTTTTTTTTTTAGCCCAAATCACCGTAGCCCTTAGCCCATCATTGGGTTAAAGGTGTGTGTGGCTAGAAAAAATTCCATAAACCAATTTTTGGGGTTTTTTTTGGCCCTTTTTTTCCCTAAACACAACTGAACCAAAGAACCGTTGAGGCACTGTTTGACTGACAAAAACAGTGCCTTCAAGGGTTTTTTGGGCAAAAAATGGTAAATAAAAATAAAAAAAATAATTGAAATTTGTTGTTTTTAAAACTTTTTCAAGATTTCTAGTGACATTATAGTCATTTTAGGCACTATTTAGCTAACAGAAACAGTGTCTTAACGGCTATATTAAGGCCAAAAAAATATGTCTTATTTTTTATTATAAAAAGTTAATTTTTATTTTTTTAAAATACCTTTCATTTATCCTCTATAAATACATCAACCCCTACCATCATTCATCTCACATCCAATCTATCTGTATTCTCTACTCTTTCAACCTACAACTAAAACCTCCGAGTAATTTTCTTAGTCTTTTAGTTATGTTTTTATTACAAATACAACTCTTAGTTCACCTAATCAAATGATAATTGTGATCCCTTCTTACAATTCTTTAGAGAAGAATATCAATTTCCATCTCATCAACCATCCCAAATTTTCAACATTCCTACTTAAGTGCCACAATCTAGTAACTCCCAACCTTTTAGAAAGCAAAGGGTTAGCCAACCTCCCAATTGGTCAACGGTCGAAGATGAGGGTTTTATGTTATGCGTGGTTGGCTATTAGCTCTGATGTAGTAATCCGTTCAGACCACTAGAAGGCAGTGTTATGGACAAGCATGGACCTACAGAGGGACTCAGGGGGCAATTGCCCCCCAGATATTTTTTTTAAGTAATATACCCTATTAATTTGTTTTCTTCAACTGTATACCCTTTAAATATTACCATTGCCCCCCTAATATTATTAAAATACCCCACCCCCCCCCCCCCCCCCCAAAATAATATCCTGTGTTGGTCCTTTGTTATGGATCCGAATTCATGGAAGTTTTAAGCAACATATTAGTGGTGCTGGTACACCTAAAAGAAATAGTAACACCTACTTGAATTGTTGGTTCTTCATGCAAAAAAAAATTACCAATTTTTCTGGATGTATGGCCCAAATCGAAAGAAATCCTACCAATGGGAATGATAATGAGTACAAGGTAAGCTCTTTACTGTATTAAATTTAACTTGTACATATTTTAAAGATTTGCCTTCTAATAATTATTGATTTTTTTTTGCTTAGATGATAACAGCAAAAAAATTGTTCGCTAGTCAAATTAATACCAAATTTAAGTTATACAAATGTTGGAACATTTTGAAGCACAACAATAAATTACATTTACATTGTGCCGCTCAGTGAGGGAAAAACAAAAAGAAACAATTGAAGAAGAGGAGTGGAATCCCACGTGAGCTTATTGGTTACTCAAATCCATCTACTCCATCAACTAATGCAGCAATGACAATAAGTTCAGTTAAAGGATCAACACACATAGGCAAAAATAATTTGCCCAATGTTGAAGAATGTCAGCAACCACAAGATCGAAAAGTGGTAAAGCATATGTGAAATAAGGAAAAATATTATACCAAATTATAGAATGAATTCATTAGCAAAACCGGTGATGCAACAATCCTTTATCAATCTCAATCTCAAAGTCTTGTTGCCGCCTAAATAGCATGAAAGGTACATAAAGCAGATAAAGAAAAGACCAGACAAATAGATCTCAAAACAAAGAAAGAGTGCTTCAAAATAAACAAAGAGCTGAAGAGATGTCAATCATGTAAACAGTTCCAGAATTGATGCTAACACAAGACGAGAAATCATGGCTTAATGAACAACAAAATGATATATTATAATGTATACGCACATGATTACTAGTTATTGTGATTGTGGTGCAGGTGGCTGCGTCGGTGTTGTCGAAAGATGTAACTGTTAGGTGATTCACGGTGGTGGTAGTGATTCATAGTGGTGGTGGTGGTAGTGGTGACCCTAACCCTAATTGTAAAATTAAAATTGTAATTTATTTAATTTAGTTATTCTAACAAATAATAATTAATTAAATTTATATAAATAAATATGATTTTAATTAAATATAATTAATATTCCTTTAAATTTATTTTAATTACATTATAGTTATCATAATTACTTAATTAAATGTATTTTAGTTACATTTATTACTCAAATATAATTCACTTAATTCCATTTACATTTAGTAATCTTATTTATATATAAGGGGTTGCTTGGTCCATTGATACAATTTTCTTTGTAATTTAATGGCAGTGTGGCACTATAAGAGTAATAAAGTCTTTTCTATTTAGTTAAAGGGCATTTTGGTTATTTCAAATCAATTTTCTGACAAAAAGTATTGCCTTTTGGTACTGAGGGGAGGTATTTGCAAAAATTGTGGCAAACCTTTAGGGGGCACATTGCAAAAAAAATGCAAACCTTATATTTATTTGCAATTAAACCAAACCTCAGGGGAAGCCATTGTAATTTATCCTTCTTTTTTTCCTAGTTGATTTTAATAATGACATTGTATTGTTTAATTTTTATTTTTTTAATTCATATCGTATTGTATTGTTTTAATTTTTCTAATCCATAATGAATATTGTATTGTTTTAATTTTTCTAATCCATAATAAATATTGTATTGTTTAAATTTTTTTTATGATACAGTCGTTAGAAAGCTGTTAGGAAAAAGTTAAAATATATATATATATATATATATATATATATATATATTAATATTTTTGGAGAGCGAAAATGTACAATTGGAACACACAATAGATAGCTAAAATTTGAAGAGTGTAAAACTCTGACTTTTGAAAAAACTGATGTGGCTTTTAGAAAATGATGACTTGGATATTTTGGATTGCCAAAATTTGACAATGTTGTTGGAGATGCTATTAGTAAATAGTGAAATTTAGTCAAACTATTATGCTCCATCTGGATTGAAAGATTTGGAGGGATAAGAAAAGAAATGATAGTATGAAGTGTGTTTGGGTTGTCTTAAGTGAAGAGAAAAGATTAGATTGGGAGAGATTCGGAGGGATAGCTATCCTTTCAAATCTTTTATATACTATTTCAAAAAAAATAAGAAGATTTGGAGAGAAAAAATAATGAAAAAATAATACTTTCCTAATTTTAAAACTACCTTCAACAATTAAAAGAATAAATATGTTATGACACTTAAGTCCTATATTAAAAAAGGGTATAATAATAGTTTAATTGTTATCCTTTCTTTTCTCTCATTTATTTTTTTTCCAAACAAAAACACTATCCTTTGATTTTTTTTTTTTTCTTCATAATTTATTTAAATATAAATAAAAATTATTACTATCATTTCATTTCATAAAAACTAATATTACCATTTATTTTCTTTTTTCTCCTATTTAGCGAGGTCTTATTATTTCCATCTTGTCACGAGATGGTTTGAAATGTGGGGTGGGTTGTTTCACGGCCAGTATATGATCTGGGTTTGAACCCTATATGGGCCAAATGTAGGGATGTCAATTTTTACCGCCCCGTCGGGGCCCCGCCCCGTTCCGCCCCGTTAATAACGGATATGGGAACACTTATTATACCGTTGGGGCGGACATGGATACAAATTTTGTACCCGTCGAGGGTCACGGGGCGGGTAAGGGTTCAATATACATATCCTAGGGGCCCCGCCCCGCCCCGCCCCGCCCCGCCCCGCATATAACTATATTTAATATATATATATATATATATATATATATATATATATATATAAAAGTTATTTTAGCGGCTTACCCAACCCATCTCTTACAATCCTAATTTGGGATGTAAACTTGGTATTAAATTTGCTTTTGTTTTGGTTATGGTGGAAGTTGGAGCTTAGAACTTCTTGTGATTTGGTTGTATTAAATTTTTATTTTTGTTTATTATGTTCTTTGAATTATGTTATGTGCATGTTATTTTTTTTATTTTTGTTAGAATACATAATTTTATTTATGTTGTGTCATTCCTAGGCTTTGCACATTTAAATAGCAGGAGTTTAAGTTCCAAAAAGTAAGAGAAAAAAATTTGTTAGTGGGGCGGGCACGGGGGCACAGTATTTCCTAACGGGGCGGGGTTAGATATGAAAATTCAACCCGTCGCGGGTCTCGGGGCGGGCATGAACTTGACAAAAATTAAAAGGGGCGGGGCGGGATTTAGGAAACTCGCTCCAAACCCGCCCTGTTGCCATCCCTAGCCAAATGGCCTGTATCCATTAAAACCCTCAAAATCCATAATTTTGAAAATGACAACCATATCCCATTTTCACCAATTTCGCTAAAACCCTGCATCACTCCAATCTCCCTCCCTCTCTCTGCGACTCAATGCGATAAGCCATCACCCATCCATGTATTGCTTTTGTTAATCCGTAGTAAGTTTGTGTGTGTATACATATATATTCATCTATATATATGTTTGTTTTTTTAGTTCATCGTTGATTGGAAGTTCAAGAGCTTTGAAATGAAGGCTTTCAGAGCTCTTAGAACCCTCAGAGCTCTTAATTTGAAACCCCAAGAAACTCATCTCCGTTCGGCGCTTTTCTGTCGATTCTACGCGGCCCAACCTCAAGAAGACAACCCCAACAGTACCAATTCCGAAGACGAGCACAGTGACTCCGTCTTCGATAGCAGCCAATACGCATTACCTAACGTGGGTTTGGATTCTGAGGCCGAAACCTCGCGAGAACCAACTTGGGACGAGAAGATTCGGGCAAAAACCAATCGGGCAATATTTGGGGAAGAAACCCAGTTCCAGAAATCAAGGATTGTGGAGAAGGAAGAAAGGAAGAAACACCGAGAGAAGGAAAAGGAAGAAGAGAAGAAACGCCGAGCTGGGGAGTTAGCGAAGGTTCTGCTTGCAGCAGCATTAGAGCGGCTGGACGAGGATGGCGAGGAGGAGGATTTGGTAGTCAAGGATGAAGACCAGAAATCGTTGACAGTTGGGATTATTGGAGCTCCGAATGCTGGAAAGTCCGCTCTGACCAATACCGTGGTTTGTTTCCAATTCACTTTTTATTTATTTATTTATTTATTTATTATTATTTTTTTTAATATGATGAGTAGTGAAAGTGTGAAACTTTTGTTTTTGTTTTTGGCATTTTGGTGATTGATTTTTGGTCAAGTTTAATTTTCAATTTTCACTATCCATTTTCGCGTTGTGCTTGTTAGGAGATAGTTCTATTGCATGTGGAATGTTTCAATTTTGACTCTGATGTTTAGAAATCTTTGCAATGGAGTAATCTGCATAACTGTAACAACGAGATGGAAAACCAGCCTATTTCATTGAAGTGGTGGGGCAGTGAAACTCATGACATTTAAGTCTGGCTGTAGGAAATGGGTACTCAAACTTGCCAGTTTCTTGGGCTCTAAATGGGAAGATATATATATATATATATATTTCTTCCCATTTTGCGCACGCACACGGAGAAGGAAAATAAATATATGGTTCACATATGATGGATGGACAATTCGTACAAAAGATAGACCATTAGGGAGTTTATTACAATGTATAAGCGATACATTGTGGAGTGAAAAGGTTGAGACTGACTAGTGTGAAAACATGGGTTCGAGTATGAGAAATTCACTTGTGCAAAATAATGTCAAATGTCAAGTCTTTCCCTCTGACTACTCCGTATAGGCAGGATATATACTAGGTAGTGCATTTATTTAGGGAATCAAGGCTTGGTGTAATGATAAAAACTTGAATTAACAATCTTGAGGACATGGGTTGAGTCTTGGAACAATAGCTCTGGTTTGTGCAAAATATTAAAAATGATTCCATCACTATTCTTTCCCTTGCAACACCTTGTTTAGGCGCTAATTTACTTTCATAAGGGAGAAATTATGCTTTCTCATAGTTGCTGAGACTCACCGAACCCCTCTCTCATTGAACCAACAAGTTTGATTCCTGATGCTGCATTGCAACTATACCATCATAATTCTCATGATGCCCTAGACAAACCTTATATTAGAACCGTTTAAATGGATACGGGTGAACCATGTTAAAATAGGGGTCAAAATGGATAACCCATATTCAATCCATTTTTATAGAGGGTTAAATGGGTTGAATATGGGTCACCCTTTTTGACCCATGTTTCAACCATTATATAAGAGATCTAGTTTCACATCCTTTATTTGATTCAAATTCACCTCTTCTTCTTCTCTAAAATTCTCTCATACAATCCCAAATCTTCTCTCTTTCCCACTCTCTCTCTAAAATTCTCTCTAAGATTATCTCTACATCATCCTCTTTCTCTCTCTAAAATTTTTTGTAGTACTATGGTATTGCGATCTGCTACATCCACAACACATATACAATGTATTCGTATGTATTATATCTGCTCTACTTTCCTACCAACAATATCCTTTACTTCTTTTGGTAATTCTTGCGACAATATCTAATGGTCCATCCCCTTCTCTCTCTCTATATGTGCATATACATATGCAAACATATATAGGATGTTGAAATTGAATATCGGTGCTTCTTATCATCGATGGTCTAGAGAGGGAGAGGTGTAATAATCCTAAGGGATTCTATAGGAAGGCATGTTAGAGTTGCATCAATCTTCTATTTTTGGTTTATCTACTGTAAAAACAACAGAGGGGAACTGTAAGTCTATTATGCAGCTTCAAGCAGTGGAATGTTCAATCCAAATTCTAATAGAGGATAGTGTTAATCTACTGAAGCATCTCCCATGTCATGGACTCCTCGTGGATGTAATAATACAGCTCGAAACAAACCTATGTTTACATTTGTATTTCAAAGTAGGAAGACCTGATTTATTCATTTAATTATTTATTCTATAAAAGCTTGACAGATGATTTCATATAATAATATATATATATATATATATATATATATATATATATATATATATATATCTCTTACTTTCATGCATGTCTAGTCATAAAATAAAATAATATAAATTTAAAAATTTTTAAAAATAAATTGGAGGATTTGCAATTATACATACATATTTTCACAAGCTTTTATTTAACTAAAAAAAAAAACTATAATAATGAGATTATCCAAAATAATAATTTTTTTTTTCCCCCTAAAATGGGTTGGCGGGTTGACCCGACCCATTTGACCCAACCAATATTTAACCTGTTACAAGCGGGTTGAATATGGGCCACACCCCATATTTGACCCTGCCCAAACCCGACCCAATCCGCCTGTTTGCCACTCCTAGTATTTTGCAATGTCTCTCTGTGTCAATGTACACATACATACATACACACATATATATATATACACACACACGTAAAATATCATTAAAAGTGATCAAGAGGTCCATAGGATTCTTTTGTTACTCATGGGACGTGTTCCCTTGTTGAACGCTTTTTATTGAATTTGCTTAATTATCCAAAAAAAAGTGATCAAGAGGCAAGCGCACCCAAGTATGCAAAAAAATATACCAGAAGAAGCTAGCTACACAAAGACTGCTGACCACGCGAGAAAAGCCACTTTCAAGGAGGCTTCCATCTCCAACCGGCCTTCCAAGGAAAGGAACACCCCCGGCCATCCAAAAGACTATGATATAATGAGCGCACCTTGAATACCTCACTTCGAGAACTTGACCAAATCAGCTCGTCAATATCCCCTCCACCTCCTAACTCTATAGCAAGGCCAAGAACTCCGCGGCCTCCTCCAAATACCAATCATGGAAATTCCTCTTGAACTGCACATCCCAAGTCACCTCCCACCGGCTAACATTGAACTTGGGAAAATGAAATGGTTGAATAATTGAAAAATGAGAATTGAGCCGATAGTAGTCAACAACTAGAGCTTGCATGTTCAAGGTAATATTGAAGAGCCGTGGATACTTGCATACACGTGAGCTATCTCCACACCAAGTATCTTCAAAAACCCCACTCTTTACTTTGAATTGAATATGCTTGAAAGACTTATTCAATCCCTTCTGGATGAGATTCCAAACCCGTCCCAATTGGAGCCTGCACCTCCTTAGAGGTCCAACCATCTCTCTCCTCCCCCACCTTACACAAAATAACCCTCCTCCATAATTTAGATCTCTCTATCCCAAACCTTGAAAACCATTTTCCCAGCAAAGCCTTGTTGAACAAACCTAATCTCCTGATTCTTAACCTTCCTAGCTGTAAAGGAGTGGAAACCTCCCCCCAAGTCACCAAGTGGAACTTGAAATTGTTGTTGTTGTTGTTGTTTTTTTTTTTTTTCTTCCCCTTTCTGGAGCACTAAATGAACTTTAATAAATAGAGATATCAAACACAAAATATAAGGACCCAGAGAGATGATCTGGATGAAACAGGAGAAGTAGACTAGCCAATGGGATGTATAGTGAAGGTAGGGATGTTTGGCTCCGTCACAAACCTTTGCTCTCAAGGGGAGTTATTCTCTGAATTTACTCTGCCTTTAACGCTTACCATGGTGCATGTATTTATAGTTTTAGGCTTTCTGTGTAATACCAGTTGTCCTCTATCCGATTGGTCTTTGTGGTGTCGTGGTCAGAATTTTGTTTTGACCCAGGTCGTGAACCAACTCGGTTTTGAACAAACCTTTTTTTTTTTTTCACTTGTAGGCCTTGGACCTTATTTAGAACTCCCTTGTAGCCCAGTATATAAGGGCATTTAGGGTTTGGAGTGGAGAATGAGAGAACATGGAAAGTCACAGGAAAGAGAGTGAGAGCGAGAGAAAGGGTTTGGGGGCTGAAACTTGTAATCTCTTGTTTTTCGCATAGCGAAATCTTTCGCGGGATCTTCACCCTGGACGTAGGCACAACTTGTGTTGAACCACTCAAATCTTTGTGTTCTTTTTGTGTGACATGTTTACTTTTTTGTCGTGATCCTTGTTTTGTTCTTGGTTCGTTGCGTTTGTCGTAACAGTCTTTACTTGGTACCTGAAGTTGTAGGTCATGATCCCTCTAAGCACCTAAAATTCTTTCCTTTCACCATGTCTTAGTGTGGCGTGGAGTGTCAAGTCTCTAATGTAGGCATTAAATGCATTCAGCTGAACAACAAACGGCGGTGGTTGAAATATTTATGGTTCTAAGCAGAGCAGTAAGGGTGTATGTTGCAGCACGTGTTCACCATCCCTTTGGCTTGGCCCATTACTTGTGTTAGACATTTTCAGACTTCTCATCCGCTAATCCAAAATCCTATGAAGTGTCCCATCTAGTAGTTGTAAGGATTCGAGAAGGCCTTACCTTTATCTTGTTTTATACATAGCAACTCAGACTCAAGGTCGCAAGGCACCACTTGTCAACCTGTCGTGATGCAAATGCCACTTTTAGACCAGGTGGTCTTTTTGAGGTTTGATGGTCTTCTATGACTTCAAGGTTTTCTTTGGACTCGGGAATTATGTTCTCGAGGTTTGATGACCTGGTATCACGTTAGGGTTTTCTTTGGACTCTAGAGTCATGCTCTTGAGGTTTGATGATTTGATATGATGTCAGGGTTTTCTTAGGACTCGAGAGTAAACTCTCGAGGTTTGATGACCTGCGTGACGTTAGTGACATTGCCTTTGCTAATTGACTTGTGTTGTTTTTAGTTATTACTATCATCATCATCTTTGCCTTTGTCCTATATGAATGAAGTTGGCCACATGTATTCTCTTTTTCCATTCTTTCCTATTATAAACCATGTCTCCTACAATATTTAGTTTTTAAAATTCCTTTCTAATTACTTCATCCCATGTAAGTTTTGGCTGCCCTCTTTGTTGCTTACCTTCTAGGCAAGCAACTATTCCCCTTTGTCGCTCACTGATAGTTATTACTATTAGTATGGTTAACGTTATTATTCCTTTCTGTGTGGGTCAGTACTTCAGAAGTTTAGAACTTTGTATGTCCCATGAGTAATTATTGTTAATGACTACATTTATGAGGTCATTATATAGCATCATTCCATTTTGGTTTACGTCACCAATTCCTTGTATTGTTCAGTGAATTGTCTGGATTTTAAAATATTGTTGGCAAGTATTGATGCAGATTATGGAGGTTTTGGGAGGAGGGTAAAGAGCTGCTGTTACACACAACATTCAGATTTTAGTGGGGGGTGGTTGTTGTTTTTTTTTTTTTTATTTTATTTATTTATTTATTATTATCTTTATGAGAGAATCCATATGTGAGCAACTTTATGTTAGCATTGATGTGTTGCATGTTGTGAGTTTGTTTATTTTGTTGACTTAATAGAATTTCGAGCTTTTGTTGCAATTTTGCATTGTGTAAAATGATGCTATATAATGATATCATAAAGTCGGAGTCTGTATTTTTATTTTTAACTTTTGATTAGATTTTCAAAAGTTATCTTAGCTAGTTAGTTAGTGGCAGTGCCTATGTCTATGGACCAAATCAGAATTTGAAGATACATCAAAATGCAAAAAGGTAAAATCACCACTTGAAGAACTAATTCACCATTAAAGTTCATAATAATGCATTCTCATTTTAGGGCACAATGCACGCATGGTTTGATTCATGTAATAGTTGTTTCTTATGCATGAAGTTATTTTTGGAATAAATATAATTCAACAAGTATTTTTCACAAAAAAACATAATGGCTCAATTGGTGTGTTGATTGATCGGAAGTTTTCCCAAAAATCATATTGAAGTCCACAATAGCTTGATCAAGTGCTTGACCAATTTAACCTTGGATAGTTTCCATAGAAGGTAAGAGGTGAAGAGAATTCAAGTTGCCAACCCCATTGTATGGGAATAAGGCAAGGATGATGATGACGATGATGATATCGAGATCTCTTTACACATTATTGAGAGAGCACAGGCATTTTTTATTTTTCATCGTCTACATCTTGCATTAGATGGCAAATTATTACTCAAAGTGGTGAATATCATAACCTTTGTGTTACACGGAGAATTCAACACCGAAGTGTCTCTATACAACAGACATGCAACTTGTCTGAGTCTGTTGGTGATGCAGATTTTGGCTGGAGACTCAAGTGGGAGTTTGGTCATTCAGTCTGTATAAGAGGTAATTAAGGGTTCTAGGGTTTGGGAACTGTTAACCTAGTTTTAAAATCTCTCTCATAGTGGATTTGATTTGCCTGGACTAGGTATCATGGTTTACGTACAAATTGTGTATTCTTGTGTGGTTGCATGTTTATTTATTTCTTCTATACTTAATTGATTCATATTGTTGCTTTTAAAATAAATTGTAATAATTTACAAACCAGTTATTGTTATTTAATACTTAATATTGGACAAGATCTATTTACCGCCCTCTATGACTGGATCACGGACCTTGCGCTAACTCTCACATGAGAGTCTTGGGATATAGTCCTGCATTTCTCAATGGGTAATAGAGTATATCGATGATAGACTAACAATCTTTTAGAGAGAGTGAGGTCTAGGTTCAATTCTTACTGTTGATTCAGGAGGAAAAGAAAGGAAATTGGATCCTTGATTGTTTTCGAGGAAGGTCTTTTGCAGAAAAGTATAATGATAATATTGCACTGTCTCTATTTGTTCAGCGAATACATGCCTTAGGGCTGCTAGTTACTTCCGTTCTTCTTCTGCTTCTTCTTCTTCTCTCTCTCTTCATGGCCAACAGGAAAGATGCAATCCAAGTCCCCTATAATCTCTGACAATGCCATTGCTACTGTTTCTTTCCTTCCTTCTTCTTTCTTCCCCATAGTATACTTTTTTATAAATTTGTTATATATATCATGAGATACCTTTACTACTCAATGTATCATATTGGAAAAATAAAAGGAAAATAAATTGTTCTTTGTGGGAGTTGGTGTTTAAATGCTTGCAGCTCAAAGGTTGAATTCCATGGAAAGGTTTTCTTCTATCTTTTATTTGGTAAATCTGGAAAAGGAGAAATTAGAAAAAATTAAGGAATTAACATTTTAATTTCACTTGTGGAACATCAGCTCGTTGGTATGTTCAATTCCAGTTTTGGTGTTCTTGTGTCTGAGATTTCAGTCTTGAATTTGATACTGATAGGGAGTTCATGCATGGTGTAGCTATTAAAATGAATGCTATGGTGCGTATGAACGTAATCTTATCTATTCTAAAATATAGTTAGTCCTGAATACTTGTTGTTAACAAAAGTGATAACACATTCAGATTTATAGTCCCGCAAGCACCCCTAAAGAATCTTTTTTGTTTCTTTCAAATACTCTTTTCTGGAATTTTGTTCTATTGCACTTTTATATATGATTTCTTTATCCATGCATGTACATGTATGTTTTTGCAGTACCAATTATAGTATTATTTAAATTTTATTTGTTCTTAAATGTTCAGTGACCAGAAATTTTCTAATGACCGCATGTGGAGATATATTCTGAGTTTATACATTTGTTGTTTGTGATAGGTTGGGACAAAGATAGCTGCTGTTTCACGGAAGACAAATACAACTACACAAGAACTATTGGGAGTAATGACCAAAGGAAACACCCAAATTGTACGTCTCATTTCTGTTTGATGAATCAACTGATATCTTGTTTTACTTTCAGATCACGGTCTTATCTTATGAGGTGCGTTTGTTCCCAAAAGTGCAACTTTAAAAAGAATGGCATCACCAAATGCCTATATGTTCATTAACGTTGTGCATGGATTATTGATGCGTCACTTCAATTAGATTGATTAACAATGTGGTATAGAGTTGAAGCAAACAATCTTAAATTTATATATACCACTACTACTAAGTATAGCAAAGTGAGTGGGATTGAACACGAGGACAACAGGCTTGAATCAAATTTAACATTGTGATATTGTGGGCCGAATTATGCGACCCGCTTATAACCCGACGACCCATTGGATGAGCTTTATGTGGGCCCACACCATGGGTCGTGGGCCTAATTAGTCTCTTGTAGCCCTATATATAAGGGCGCTTAGGGTTTGAAGTGTAGTAAGAGAGAGACTCTGAAATTCGTACAGAAACAAAGCGAGGGGCTGAAAACATGTAATCTCTGATTTGACACATAGTGAAAACTTTCGCCGGATCTCAGCTGTGGACATAGGCTATTGCCGAACCACGTATAAATCTTTGTGTTCTTTGTGTGGCGTGTTTATTTTTCTGTCATGATTTTTGATTTAACTTGGGTTCGTTGCGTTTGTCATAACAAACATTAATGAAAATGAGATCAAAAGGATAGTGATTGGTTTGTTAATAACTAATGCTAAAATTAAACTATCTAAAAATGCAACTAAAGAGGATATTAATGATCAAGTTAAAGGAAGATAAGAGGGAGAGAGACTTAGGGCGTGGAATTCACCTCTGAGATCTTGTAATCACACCAATTGCATTCATATTTTGAAGAAAGAAGTGTATATAATGAAGATAATACTACAATCTAAACATAAGACAACATAGAGATTAGATGAAGATTAATTGAAGAATTTAAGCACCATCATGTTTGGTACAACCAAATTGAATACACAAGATTTCACAATTCATATACACATAGAATTCCCCCAATTTGAATACAATTAATATGAATACTTGAGCTAGGGCTTCATCCAAGGCCTAAGAGGGAAGCTAGCTAGCCATGGAGAGGTCTAAGATGATCCTTGAAGCTTCAAACTCCATCCCCTAGCACTGCCAAAGCTTCTTCTCCAATCCTTGAGAGCAAACCCTAGAGAGAGGAAGTAGAGAGAGACCCAAGCCTTGATCAAAACCAATCTAAGCCCCTTTGCAAAATGGCTTGATTTCCTATTTATACTTCACTTTTGGGCTGCAAAGTGGTCAGAATTCATACACAAGGTTCATCATTTGGGTGCACCACGGATTGGCATTCAAGAGGACTCCAGATATGAAGTTTGAAGAGTCTTAGCCCCACGTTCGATTGATCGAGCCTCGAACAATCCCTAACAGTACTCGATTGATCGAGTCTCGAACAGTACTCGATCAATTGGGTTGAACAGTAAATTCTGCACTTCAGCCCACTTTTGCTCGCGACTCTTCGCCAAGACTTAATTCGGCATATAGAAGCCCCATTTAGCCCTAAACACTTGAAATCAGAAATAAAATAAATTATAACTAAAAAGGTAAACAAAGATAGGATTAAGGTACTAACATATGCAAGAATAAGGGCCGAGATGTGCATCTTTCGGCACTTATCAATTATGAATTTAAATCATGACTTTGGATTACGAATATATCTCAAATTTTTTTAGATATATGGAAAACTTCATTAGGTAATGGAGAATAGCATAGGTCCAAATCATCTCCCCCCAAAAGAAAGTAAATATGGTCTTGTATCACTTCACAAAATATCACCAGCTCTCAAGCATTACCATGGCCTTGGGCCTATTTAAAGGCCTCTTAATAAGCCTACAGTGTGCACATGGAACAGTTTATGCAGTCTAGTCTATAGAGAGCTCCCAGCAGTTAGAGGGATCTTCCTCTGTGTATTATCTATATCGAGTGGTCATTAATCTTACCTGATGGACCAATCTAAAGCTAGAAGGGTGCTCTAGACTCAGCTTGTTAAGGAGTTTTCTAATGACAAGACAGCCCTAGCTCCTATTTTGAGGTTGTCACCCCTGAAAATCACTAATCCCTATTCCCTATAGCTGACCATTTTGCATCTTTCTTCCAAGAGCCTTGTTACGAGATTCGGCAACCTTTTTGCAAAAAAATTATTTGGCTGTTTCACAATATAGAAGATTTTTTACTTATAAAAAAAAAAAAAAACAATATAGAAGATTTTTGGTTAATCCTGAAACCCTAGGAGGTTGTCTGGGCCCGGGTTTCTCAAGGATCAATTTGAGAGCATGTTGCCTTTAATTTCTTCAGCTGTAAAGGACTGAGCAAAAGGAAATCTTTCGATTTCTGGATCAGGATCATGTACGTATTCCCTTGCTGTATACCATTTGGACAAGTGAAGTGATAAGAGGAAAATACAAAATAGTAAAATACAAGTGAAGTGATAAGAGGAAAATACAAAATGATTTGATCCATAAGCACGCCCATAACACAAAATCCAAAATGTGAGTTAAGGGATATAGATTGCAGTTATTCTTTTTGCTGAACCACCAGCTTCTTCAACTTAATATTGTTAGGTTAGTGAGTCATGTGTTGGCAAATTTCTATCCAATTCTCGAGGTGTCCAATACTTTAGGTGTGATATGTGTCATAGTTATGTCTCATTGGTCTATAACCACAAGGAGATGAAAATCAATGGAGACCGTGCTGAAGATCTCTCAAGCACAATCGCATATCCATGGATGAGAAGAGATTCCATTATGATTCGTAGAGATATTACAACAATAGAGTACCAACACCACCACTCCACGAGCCTATTTTCTCGCTACCAGTGTTACTTGTGTTTTTCCTACTCCACCAACGGCCAACCCATATACTACCTCTACCCATCAACTCTCTCGTGAGACTACATCTCTCTCAATCTCATAAGTTCCAACCCAAAGCCTATGTATCTATTTATAGAGTTCCAAACCCAATGCCTTGTTGGACAAGGATTACAATTCTTTAGAGGCCAAGACTTGCCAAACAAGAAATTACCTAATAGAATACAACTCTAAAATAGAATCCTAATTAGAATAGGAATTTGAGACACAATTTCCAACAGTATATATCCTCAAACAAAAAAACTCTTTTTCATTTATTAAATTTCTATCATCATAACTTATCCAAAATTATAAAAAAAATAAAAAATAATTCTATCGTCATTTCTTATTATAATTGTTTTCAATTAATGAAATATATCATAGTTTAGAATTGACTGATTTTTTGTGATTATACTGTCTCTTATTTTTAATAATTTGACACGCAGTTGCACTTGTTAAAGTTGCTTTATATATATATTGATAGATGAGTGTGTTTATAGATGTGTGTCTTGAAATGCTTATTTAATGTTTACAACTTGCAAAGCAAACCTGAATTCTTTTAACATCCATATGCATGGTATTGTACTATGATTTCATGTTCTTTTAAACAGTATAGTTGTAAGCAGTCTTGTAACATTTTTCTGGAAGACGTCTAACCTATTTCTTGTTCAGTGTTTGTTTGACACCCCAGGACTTATGTTAAGGAAAAGTGGATTCCCTTACAGTGATATGAAAGCTCGTATTGAAAGTGCATGGAATTCAGTTGGTCTCTATGATGTGCTCATAGTTATATTTGATGTTCACAGACATCTTAACAAGTCAGTGACCTCTCAATATCTGTATTGAATTTTATTGTCTTCATTTTCCCTTAATATATTCCTCCTGGAGAACAATTTTAACAATCAATGTTATGATCATCACTTTCTTTTTTCCTAAATGTTTTGATCATCTTTTGAATCAGATCCCAGTTATTGTTTTATGAAAGATTTTGTTTACTGAGACTCCACATGCCAATGTTCAGGCTGACAATTATTATTTTTATATTATTATTGTTGTTGTTATTTTTACTTCAATTCCATTAACATTTCTGTTTCTTCTCTTCAAAAACGTCCATAGTTTGTAGCCTTACCTTACTGACATTTGGTTTCATACTTCACTTACTAATGTCCTTTTTCAAGAGGGTCCTGTCTTTATAATTTTTTGTTAAGTAATGTTAATAATATTATGCACCAAAGTGGGGTGCTGTAAAGGATGTATACATAAAATACTATGCACTGTCAAAGGATTTTTCCTAACAACCCCTTCTGAAAGTCCTTGGTAATCCACCCTACACTGGCCTCCTGTCATTCTCATATTTTCCATCACCATGATCAAGTGATTGGCGATTACGGATCCCCTTTCAGAGCTGCCTTGAGCTACTAAAGAAACTCATCGGCAAGCAATTGATGAGAACTCAAAATCTTATCGTGGTATGCAAAACTCTTTTCACTTCTTCCCAAACCCCCCATCTTCTTTGGTAATATATGAGAGAGAGCCTATTGTATGTGATCATAAACCTTCTCAATATCCATTATCCAATTTGCATCTACTCCCGGCTTCCCACTTTTTTTCTCAAATCTAAGCAGTCATCTGTCACCAAGAATGCATCCAAAATTTTGCAACCCTCCAAAAATGCATTTTGAGACTTCGAAATGTTCTCATCCATAACCTTCTTGATCCTCATTGCCGTTGCAGTGAGCTTATACGCTGCCTGGATCAGATTACTTGATTTAAAATTAGGGTAAAATGCAAAAAAAAACCTGAACTATTGATTAATTAGCAATAAACCCCCTGAACTACAAAAATTGCAAAAAACTCCCTGAACTATCTATTTTTGTTGCAGATCACCCTATCCGGCAAAGCTCCGGTTGGATTTTACCCTTAAAACAGAACGTGCCATACCACTTAAAATTGAAGGAATATAATGCCCTTATAAATATGGAAGGACAATAATGCCCCTTTTTGAGACACCCAAATTGAGATCTTCCGGCGTCACTGACACAGATCACCTCCCCCACTTCCACCAGCACCACTCAATGTCAACCACTTGGAAACTCAAACAACGTGAACCACTTGGAAACTCAAATAATTAATACCGAACCACACAACCCACAAACCCACAGTCACCGCAACCTCAACCAATCCATCCACGACCCGGAGAGAGACAAGATAATATATGACCTCAGTGAACTTAACATATTGGTGCCATTACTTATTACACTTATTGGGTCATCATTCAAGTAAGTATAAAATGCTTTCCTTTGAGTATATCTGGCACAACTACCGAGCACCATACCCTCATTTATGAATTTCTATGAACAAATGCATATATATATATATGTTCCTCCAATAACCTGCCTGTGCACCAAATGTCAAGGCTTTAAAATCTTTTAAAAGAAATTCTCTACTTATATAGGCATTTATTGCACAGCTCCGAGATGCTTTTAGCATGACAATAGCCATTAAAAATCACAATACCTGGGACAACTCCTTAATCCAACTAAAATAATGCCCCCTTCAGACTACTTTGATTAATTCACACAACAAAATATCAACTAATTAAAATTTCTGAATCCACCAACTAGTCTAACATCAACCCAACTAAATAAAGTAATAATCTCAAATTCATCAATTAATCTGATATTGGACAAATTAATTGATCTAACAAATACTAATCAAAATAATAAAATTTAATCCACTACGATTCCAAATAGAAAACCAAACTACCATATCCTCTCAATTTAAATTGTGACACCAAAAATGTGTCTAACAAAAATTAAATCAAATAATAGTCAATTAAATAGAGTTCCTCCAAAGCAAGCAACATAGAAGTAGTCTTTTCCGAGTAAGCTAAATGTTTCCCGTACCATCTCTTTCATCTGCAAAATGTTTTTTTTTTTTTTGGGGTGGAAAGCAGCAAAAAATAACCAATAATATATTAGATGCCACAACCAAGCAACTTTGATGAAAGCATGAACGTAAAAGAAAAAAAATAATAATAATAACTTTTTAATCAATTCATCCCAATTTTATCACGTCTCAATCAAATAAATTCCGGGCATTGTCCGTAATTCTGTGCACTTGACATCACAAGCCACAAATCACCTACTCGGTTCACGCACCGTTTGGCCAAGTCTAAGGTTTTTCACCTAAGGGCACTGAGCCCTATCTTGCTTTTTCGGTACAACCCCGTTTACCAATCAACAACACTTGAATCAAATTCCACACCTTTACCAAGTGTGCCAAAATATAACCACTCAATAAAATATTTTTATCAACACATTGAATGCATTAATTCTCAAATAAATCAGAATTTAAAACTCCAAATTGTGCAACAATTTCTGTCCATGATCCATCGCAATTAACAATAATATTTTCCCGATTAATACACAAATTAAATTGCAAAATAACTATACTTTAGTATAATTGAACAATAATTAAAAAAAGTATACTTGAAAAAACAAGGAAGAACAAATCACATAATTAAGGGTTATTAAGGTTAGTATACCCCTACCTCAATCAAAGAGAATTAAAACTTTAGAAGATCAATAACCACGAATCGCTACTCCAATGGTATCAAACTGTAGAGCATGATGAATGGAGAATATTTTTTTCTTGAACCCCTTAAAAAATCCCACGTCTTGGTCCTCGGTATCAGAAAGAAGATTGAAAGAGAAGAAGAAGCTAGGGTTTGTCTCTTCTCTATACTTCTCAATTTATTCTCACTTTTATTTTTTATTTTTTTCTGACATATCTATTGTTATTCGTGTGTGTGTATATATATATATATATTATCTTCTGGTACCTTATTTTGTCCATTCACGTTTCTATTACTCTACGGCACAACCAAGGAAACTGACACCCAAATAATCTCCCTAGGCACATGACTACATCCAACCTTGTTTCACATAGTTACCTCGGCGCAAATGCCGAAGTGCATCATTACATACGTATACCAAAAAAAAAAAATTCCTAGATGATTGAGACCAGTATGGTGGATTACTAGAGAGAGAAAAGTGTTGGTGGAGAACCATAAGGTAAGGTGGTGTTGGCTATTGACAATGGTGAATTGGTGATGGGTCTGACGAAAGAGAAATAGAGCGTGTAAGATTGGTGCTATAAAATTAAAAAAAAAAAATTTGGTGAGTTGTCGCATGCTAATTGGTTGTTGAGGTTTCTTATCTCCACATCATGTATTTAAGTGGATAATTGTTGAAACTGCGTCGTTTTGATTAGGGGTAAAAGTGTCTTTTAGCATTTCCGGTTGTCGGAGTTGACTGGCATGTGATTGCAACAAATCCATAGTTCAGGGGGTTTGTTGCAAAAGGCTAATAGTTTAGGAGGGTTTTTTGCATTTTACCCTTAAAATTATTCAGTTTCTCTGCTCTTCTTTTCTTAGTAACTAACATAATAAAAGAAATATTTAAGCTCTTCACAAATTCACAATGCTCATGAAAGTAACTGATGGTTGACAAAACATCTGATGTTGCAACATCCTAACATTGCTGAAAGAAGGCCATCAACATTCCTTTTGGACCGGTAGCATTATTTAACTGTGAAAGCTTCCACCACCTCATCCTCGGATAAATATCTCCTCTCTCCATTCACTGTCTTCTCTGCCCCCTTGTCAAACTTCATCTTATTCTGCTCATCCTCCTCCGCCCTATATATGTGTGTATATAACTATATATGTTGGGGCAGCGGAAGCGCGCGAATAACTAAGATCCAATGAAAGCCAACAAAGCAATCACACACAAACACAAGATATACATGGTTCAGCCAAAACCAGCCTACGTCCATGGATGAGAAGAGATTTCACTATGATTCGTAGAGATATTACATTAATAGAGTACCAACACCACCACTCCACGAGTCTATTTCCTCGCTACCAGTGTCATCGGTGTTTTTCCTACTCTACCAATCTGTATACTACCTTTACTCATCATCTCCCTCATGAGACTACATCTCTCTCAATCTCATAAGTCTCAATCCAAAGCCTATGTATTTATTTATAGAGTTCCAAACCCAATTCCTTGTTAGACAAGGATTACAATTTCTTAGAGTTCAAGACTTGCCAAACAAGAAATTACCAAACAAAATACAATTATAAAATAGAAACATAATTAGAATAGGAATTTGAAACATAGACACAAATTCCAACAATCTCCACCTTGACTCAAATTCCATCTAGCCAATCATCGCTTCCACGGCATTGATGAGGGCAATTCTTTTGCAGCTTTAATCTCGACGATCCTCCTACAAAACTCCGATTGTCCACATTATACGTTGCTCGATCAGTCAAACCTTCAAGGCTCCACCTTGACTACTTGAGCTCCATGCTATGTAATCAAGCCGACTGACTCCACCTACAACTGAAGCCTGTTGTAGCACATGTTGAGACTTTGCCCGTTGCAGCACATGTTGAGACTTCTTCTGTTTTTTGGATCTCCTTCACTTTTGGCTCTGATACCAATTTGTAACGACCCACTCCACCACATGGTATAATATTGTCCGCTTTGGACCTGAGCCCGCACGATTTTACTCTTGAGTTTTACCCCAAAAGGCCTCGTACCAATTGGAGATAACACCACCACATATAAGCACTTCACCTTTCCTTTATCCAGGCGATGTAGGATTGTGCACCTGTAACTCACCCAGTGTGGTTTCCTGTCAGTGCCTCATGCACCCGCCCACGGCACACCCGCCAACACAAGGTCGTCACAATCCACCCCGCTATGAGGCCCGACATCCCTGTCGGCACACTTTCAACTTCAGAGGATTTTACCTTTCCCTTCTTACGCTTCGGACAATCCTTTTTGAAGTGCCCTTCCTTGTGACAGATAAATCATCTCAACACCTTCGTTTTGTTCTTAGACTTGGAATGACCTTTGTTGCCAGACCCTCCCTTCTGATTCGTTCTCCCTCGAACAAATAACCCCTCTGCCGAACTTTCTGTATTGCCCTCAAACTCCTTAGAATTCAGAGCTGCCTTCATGTCTTCCATGGATAAAGCAGTTCTGCCATACATCATTGTATCGACAAAGTTCTCATGCCTGATCTTCATCCTCTATCATGACATCAATATTATTCAAGTCCATGATGATACTATTTACTTGTCAAGATGGTCTTTTAGAGACGAACCTTCGTGCATCTGAAGAGTGAACAACCGCTTCTTTAGATACAAGCGATTCACAAGAGATTTCGTCATATACCGGGACTCTAACTTTTGCCACAGCCCATCCACCGTGGTCTCTCCTGCAACTTCTTGCAGAACCTCGTTTCTCAAGCATAACAAAATCATACTGTGTGTTTTCTCCATAACCTCATCTTTGTCCTTGATCTTTTCTCCATAACCTCATCTTTGTCCTTCAACGCCTTGGATAACCCTTGTTGAACCGACAAAGCTTTCATCCTAACCCGCCACAGGTTGAAATCGTTTGTGCCGTTAAACTTCTCGATTTCCGGAATCTTGGACGACATCCCTACTTTGAACCGAAAGCTCTGATACCATTTGTAACGACCCACTCCACCACATGGTATGATATTGTCCGCTTTGGGCTCGAGCCCGCATGATTTTGCTCTTGATTTTTACCCTAAAAGGCCTCATATCAATTGGAGATAACACCACCACATATAAACACTTCACCTTTCCTTTACTCAGGTGATGTAGGATTATGCACCCGTAGCTCACCCAGTGTGGTAGCCTGTCAGTGCCTGCCAAAACCGGCCTATGTCCATGGATGTGAAGAGATTCCAGTGTGATTCGTAAAGATAGTACAACAATAGAGTACCAACACCACCACACCACGAGTCTATTTCCTCCCTACCAGTGTCATCGGTGTTTTTCCTATTCTACCAATCCGCATACTATCTCTACTTATCATCTCCCTCATGAGACTACATCTCTCTCAATCTCATAAGTCTCAACCCAAAGCCTATGTATCTATTTATAGAGTTCCAAACCCAATTCCTTGTTAGACAAGGATTACAATTTCTTAGAGGTCAAGACTTTCCAAACAAGAAATTACCATAGATAATCAAATTCCAACAATATATATATATATATATATATATATATATATATATATATATATATATATTATTGCATTGAATTTGTTTGTAGAAGACATATTGATCAAAACTTCATAAATTTAAATTCGATATTTAAAATTATGAAGGCATACAGAAGAGACAGAGGAGATAGGTTTATTTCGGAATGGACCTCAAACTGTTCCCTGCCACTTGTTATGGCTGGAGAAGTTTGCCTGCTCTGGTTTTCTTTAGAGATAGCAACCTAAAAGATTAGGAAGAGATTTGTCATTTGAAATTTATTACTTAAGTACTGTTCTGATTCTGCAAGAAGTCAGTTTTCAGAAGTAACTTTCACTGGCTTCGGCTAAATGGACTTCAGATGATTGGGCTGCTCTTAGTAGTCTGTTTGTCTTGTTTCACCAAGCACCCATATTTTCTTATAAAGTCTTTAAAGCATAAAAGTTCTTCTAAAGCCCCTCGAAAGCTCCCCCAAACACTACATTCATATCCTTGGTAATCTCCTTTTTTTAGTGCTGTTCGCTAGTGCAGTTCCGCTATCTTCCTTATCCTTGGACATATTCATATTGGTGGGTGAACAATGCTTAGTCTTTGTGTTTTTCTTGGCTTGCTTTATTTTTCCTTATATATTTCACTTGCTGAATGAACCCAAAATTTGTATTTAGACTTCTGCATAGCAACAGCAGTATCAGAGCTTTTGGGCCTATTTTTCCAACAATTACTTTTCTTGCATCATTTACCTTCTTGAGTCTTTGCTGTTTCTCCATGACTATCAATTTCATTTCCTAGCCTAGAAACTTAAGCCAGGGCTGCTTCCTCCTCCTATCCAGCCACATCATCACATGGTTTAACTGTCCTACTGTATTAAAGTTGATCCATTTCTTTCAGGAAAAGGTTAGGGGTGTTGTCCCCTAATGCACTATTCTTTTTTTGTTTTGAGTTGTAATTGATCCTTGGTATAAGCTCTAACTTGTCTCGTTTTCATGAAATAGTCTCCATATGGATTGCACTTTCATCTATTTAAAGAAAATTGCATTTACGTAAGAGGACCTTTTCTTTATTTCTGACCACCTATGGAAATCTGCTTTCATTAAATTAACTCTTTGATGGTGCTATTAAATGAAATCTTGTGCCTTTATAATACTTAGTGTATATACTATTGTATGTATACTATAACACATTTGGAGATTCGCCAGCCAGGTAGCATATTGCAACTGCACAAATCCGCGTTGACCAACTCGTCCACCTCTTACACAATTGTCTCTACAATAACCAAGTGGATTACTGATGGATTGATTCTCGCAATTCTCTTATTGATACAGGCCTGATTCAAGAGTGGTAAGATTAATAGAACGAATGGGTTCACAAGTGCACCCAAAGCAGAAGCGCGTGTTATGTATGAATAAGATTGACTTGATTAAAAAAAAGAAAGATTTATTGAAGGTTGCTGAGGAATTCAAAGATCTTCCAGGATATCAAAGGTAGGTTTTTCTTTTTGATGACTGAATATGGATGCTTGAGATAGCATCTGATTCCTTGATTTCTCCTTTTTAGGTATTTTATGATCTCAGGACTAAAGGGCTCTGGAGTAAAAGATCTTACTCAATATTTGATGGAGCAGGCATGTACCTCTTTGCTGGTGCCATTGTCATACTTTCTCCCTTTTAAATCCAAGTTTATTTTTTGTAGCCTTTGGAAATCAACTATATATATTTATGTTTGTGTGTGTGTCTTGCTAAATATGTTATTTCATGATGCATTTTCTTTTTGGATGCTGAAAAATTCTCGATTCCTCATTTAATACAAATAGCACTTCTATATGTGTTTTACTAAACCTACCATCACGGCAAGGTTGCTCCATTATGATCCGGAGGTCATGGGTTGAAACGGGAACACTCTTTCTGCATGCAGAGGTAAGACCGAGTATATCTGACCCTCCCAGATCTTGCAATGGTGGAAGTATCATGTATTGGGCTAGCCTTTTTTTTTTTTTCGCTGCCAATCCCATTCATTTGGAAAAAAGGTAAGGATGATGATGACGACAACAACCATCACTATGAAGAGACTCATCTTCTTTTTGAATTGGCAATGAGTGCTGAACATGTAGATGAAAATTGAAATTTATATGTTTTTTTTCTTCTTAAAAAAGATAAGAAAAAAAAAATATATATTTGGTAATGTAAGTTTTCTTTTTTTAAAGGAAACCAAGAGGTAATGTGAATGTCATCAGCATCATCAACACATCCCTTAACGTTTATCCAGACTCTCCACGATGAGAAAAATGTGCATTTATTACAATTATTAGGAGGCGGTGAGATTCAAACTTCGTACTGTGATACCTTGTTAAGTTGTTAACCTCCTTTTATGATCTGCACATAATTAATATGCATCTGGGTTGTTATTCATACTGAATCAGAAGTGCTGCATAAAAAGAGACATCCAGGAGTGTCAGACATTAGATATTGTATTTTCATATCATGATTGATTCTCTCTTATTTGTAGAATTTCTCATTGTTTAAACTACTTTAGCATGAAAAGGACCTCCTGTTCCCATGAAATTCGTTATTTCATGGCTGAAGATATCTTCATAGAGTTCAAGCTTGCAACCTAGTAATGATTTCATCTATGAATAAAAACAAATCAGTAGTATATGACCATATATTGTGTTTTATTGTTTTGGAGGAAACCTGTTTCTGAAGTATTGAGCTTCCATAGAATGTCCTTTTGTACACTATCTTAAAAAATCTTTTCTCTACAAATTCTTTTTGAATGGAAAGGGCTGCTTCCTTTAACAGCCTCAATGTATGTATTGATCTTTGAACCAAAAGAAGAAAGAGTGAAAAGTTAGGTCCTTAATGTGATAATTACCACAATTTTGTCAAAGAACAATAGAAGCATGTTTACCTCCATTGTTGATTCTAAATATAAGTAACCTTTTTCCTCTCACCTTGCCATTTTCATATTAAATTTGAAGCAATGGAACTTTTGGAAGCTGTGTTTCTGCCAACCTGCATCTATTCTCTGTACTAAGTCATGTGCCTAACGCTGCTTCTTCAATGGTATTTTTATGCTCAGGCAGTTAAACGACCCTGGGATGAAGATCCACTCTCTATGAGTGAAGAAGTTATGAAGAATATTTCATTAGAAGTTGTCCGCGAAAGATTGCTAGACCACATACATCAGGTACATGGAGTTATTTAGCCCAAATAATTATTCATTACCATTATTTGTTATGTTGTTCCATACCATTTGTCAAAGAATTTATATTGGTCAGTTAATTTTGCTTATTTCAGGAAATCCCATATGATATTGAACATCGCTTGTTTGATTGGAAAGAGCAAAGAGATGGCTCTCTTAGGATCGAGCAGCATTTCATCACAAACAAATTGAGCCAGCGCAAGATTCTTGTGGGGAAAAAGGGATCTAAAATAGGGTAATGATTTCTTTCTAGGTTAAGAATTAAATCTTTTATGTTGTTCCCTTTATTTTTATTACTTAATGACTGCAATTCGATTTGATTTGGTTGGGTTCAATGTACAACCTAGAATCAATCTTACTCTGGTTGGTTCTTAATATTATGAAAATCAAGATAACCAAACAACCCAACCTATATAATGGTTTGGTTATTTGATTCGATTCTTGGGTTAATTTCACAATGTAATAATCATAAATCCAGCTTGAAACAGTAACAACAATACAAATGGATTTGATTTTCAAAATTTCAAAGTGCATAAACTCACAAAGCCCTAGTTTAATGGAGGTGAAAAAGTAGCAAACCTGATGGAAAGAAGAACTAGAGTAGGAGGCTGGAGTAGCCACGGTGAAAATCAATCTTGTAGGTTTTAATCAATCTGGGTCTCTTGTGAAGAAAGGAATCGGACCCTCTTTCTAAGCAAGAGGATGATTGAATTAAAGCGCTCATTATAGTCAAAAATAGAAAATTTTCAATCTCCAATTTCAGATTAACAATTTAAGTTCGGTGAAGTGGGGAATTAGGCATTCTCTGGTTTGGAAAGAAGCTTCTTGACCTATTATTCCATTGTACAAGGCATGGATTTTAGACTATACCGGCAAGTAAGCATACGACATATTTCAGCACCTATTTATTAAAAAATTAGGGTATGCGGCCCTGCAAGTATGCATGAAGTTGGCTAGTTTTATGGAAACTGTAAAAAAGTCGGGGATCATGAGATATTTTTATGCAAGAATCTTTCATGTTTATAGAGTTAGTGGGGGTAATTTCTAGGATATCTCAAACATGAACTTTCTATAGGATGAAAAACATGCAGCGATTTCTACGATATCTCAAACATGACCTTTGACTTGTCTGCCTACAAGAATTGAGAAAAAAAAAAAATCTTAAAACATGTTGCCAATGTATATATCATCAACCCATAATTTCTCCTTTGCTTCTGCTTTTTTTCAACAATAGCTAACCCTAGAGCTAATGTTAATTGAACGGCTCAGGGCCCTAAGGCTTCTCCATGGATCAGCGTTTATGTGGTAGCTTCAAATCCTAATTTTGCACAAGTCACTTGAACGACTCAAAAATGGGACATGGATTAACCTTTAAAAGTTTGCTTTGTCATCTTGTCTTGATTTTATGTGACATATTGTGTCAGACACCCTATGCGTGTTGACACTCGACATTTGTTGTCATGCAAAGCTGAACAACCATATTCTGTCTTATCTGCTTTTTGCTTTTCCCTTCCTTCCTGAGCTAATACCTAAGCAAAGTATTTGACAACTCGTCATTGTATTCAAGTCATACACCTATTCCAACCCATATCTCCCTTTCAGTCCGACTTAATTAGTAGGGCAATCCCTCCATCCACTTCTATATCCTCGTCCTGGCCTGAACTAGGATAGGAGATCTTCCTACTTCAAGATCCTCAATGGTCAAGAGAAGGAAGATTGATACATGAGTAACCATAAGTGTGCCACCAATCATGTGGTCACATGGAGAAGACAAAAACTTTGATGGGGGTAAATGACGCACAATATTTGAAATTTCGCCATCCGACTATTTGTTTTGATTGTGAGACATCTAGCAGTATGAGTTGGTTTGCCGAGACATGTCACGAGACTTACCTTGTGTGGCAACCCAAATGGGTCTCTTGAAGACCTACCAACCAGCCAACCAAAGAAAACCTTCTTCTAAAATTTCAAGCTTGTTGGATGGAAGAGAAAATTAGTGTCCTTTCGTCTTTTTGTTTTGTTGGATGGAAGAGAAGGGAATGAGTAACACCTTAAGGGATGGATGAGACATCCCTAGGTAAGGAAAGTGTCCTGTTTTGTTGGATGGAAGAGAAGGGAATGAGATAACACCTTATTTTGTTGGGAGAGAATGAAAGAAAGAGTTTTAATTTGTGTTTACCTTTTTACCCATCAGTATGTATAGTACTCCTTTGAATCTTTTTAATGTTATATGTACAGTTCATTTCACTCTAATTGGTTCATGCATGCTAACTTTGATTGTCTGTTGTCTTTTATATTATTATTATTTATATTTACAAGTATAATCATATTTTTGTTTTGTTGGATGGAAAAGATGGGAATGAGATAACACCTTTCTTTGTTCGGAGAGAAGGAAAGAAAGAGTTTTAATTTGATTTTACCATTTTACCCATCACTATCTATAATACTCCTATGAATCTTTATTATGTTATATGTACAGTTCACTTCTCTCTCATTGGTTCATGCATGCTAACTTTGATTGCCTATTGTCTTTGTTTTTAAATATTTGTATTTACAAGCATATAATCATATTAAGTCATGACAAAAAAAAAAGAAAAAGAAGGTTATTGCTAGGAAAATAAAAATCAAGCTCACTAATTTGGTTATCTAATAATGATGAGGGGTAAAATCTTAATTTATCTAATAATGATGACGGGTAATATTGTCATTTAATTTTTTATAACACCCCTACTTCCTTACTCTCTTCCGTCTGTATTTGGAGGGATGAAATTTTGTAAAAGAGGAGGGATTACTCATCCATCCTTTTTTCTCTTCCCTCCTTGTCTTCTCTTTACCAAACGAAGGAAGTTTGTTTCCTTCCTATCTTCCCTCCACCCCTCTTCCTACCAAACGGACCATTAAGGTTTGGGCTTTTCACCACTAGATTAAACTTTAGTCAAAATTGTGGTCAACCTCCCCTGAGGTTTGACCAAAATTACAGTTAAATTGATTGCCAATAATGCCCTTAGGTGCAATAAAATGACAAATTTAACTCGATATCCTGTTTAATGAATGATATATAACTCTATAGTTCTTGTATTAATACATAGCATATATTGCAACACAATTACATCATGGTTCGCCGTATCGTCCGATACGTAATCCTTTTTCAAGTCCGATATGCGACCCGTATCGACTAGTTTATACTGATTTTGTCCGAGTCCATTACACCGCGACCGATACCGCGACTGCGAACCATAAGTTACATAGCCATATATATATATATATATATATATATATATATATATATATATCAGAGAGAAATTATTGGGGATGAAGAAAAACCCATCTAATTTTCTCTTCCAAATATGACCTCAAGTGCCACCACTACCACCTCATAGGTTGCCACTCCTCTTTTCCTCTCCTGCCACCACATTCTTCCATCACCACCACCTCCAATGACCCGCACCGCAACTAAACCCTAATTTATATTAGTAATTAATATGAATCCTGTATATAATGATATATATGTATATGAATCCTAGAACATAATGGTTTAATAAGGAATTGAGTGTATTATAATGATATATATGCATGAATCCCTGAACATGGTTTTTTTTATATGCATATGTACATTATGGAGCTAGACAACTGTGATGCTTTGCAAGGGTTGTGCCTTAAGGAATTGAGTGTTTATAAAATTTCTTTAGATATGTGTGTGTGTGTGTGTGTGTGTGTGTGTATAATATATTGTGATGGTGGGAGGGTGACGGTGGAGATTGAGATGGTGTAGCAGTTTGGAGTTGTTAGATAGAGAAGTACCAAATATTCTCTTTAAAATGGTGGTGCTACCAATGTCCCAACTCCACTATATTTTCAGGCAACCCGCCGCAACCCCTAATCAACAAAAACCCTTTCAAGATTCCAGTTGCAACTTTCAACACAGTATGAATAAGCCTTTCAAGATTCCAGTTGCAACTTTCAACACAGTATGAATAAGTCATTATCTTCTTCCTTCAAGCTTGTTTATTCATGTTTGTTCAAGTTTAATGTGAAATAGAGGCCCCAATCATTAAGAAATCAATGAATATAGCTTATTAATTGAACTGGTGAGGAAAAATGAGGATATGGATGGGATTGGCCACATGAATTCTTTTTTCCCATTCTTTCTTATTATACACCTTGTCTTCTGTTAAATTTAAGTTTTTAAAGTTGTTTTTAATTACTTCATCTCACATGAGCTTTGGTTGGCTTCTCTGTCTCTTACCTCATAAGCAAACAACTCTACCTATTTTACTTGTTGCATCATCGGGTCTACGTTGAATGTGACCATACCACTTAAGTTTACTTTCCCTAATTTTTTCATTTATAGGCGCTATACCTAATGTTCCCCTCACACATTCATTATTTATCTCATATCTTTTAGTGATTCTTATCATCCAACGTGGCGTCCTCATTTCTGCTACATAAATGTGTTGTATATGTGTCTTTTTAAAAGCCCAACGCTTCTCTCCATACAATATTGCCTGCCTTAATAACTGTTCTATTAAAATTTTCTTTTAATTTATTTGGAATTCATTTGTCACAAAGGATACCACTAACTTACCTCCATTTTGTCACCCGGCTCCAATCCTACTTACTACATCATCATCTATCCATCTCCCCAAATTTTTGTAGAATTGATACTAGGTGATGGAAATTGTTGGAAATTGTGTCTCAAATTCCTATTCTAATTAAGATTCTATTTTAGAGTTGTATTCTAGTAGGTAATTTCTTATTTGGCAAGTCTTGGCCTAAGGAATTGTAATCCTTGTCCAACAAGGAATTATGTTTGTAACTCTATAAATAGGTACATATGTTGTGGGTTGAGATTTAAGAGATTGAGGGGGAGAGACTCTGGAATTTGTACAGAAACAAAGTAAGGGGCTGAAATCTTGTAATCTCCGATTTTACACATAGTGAAAACTTTCGCCTGATCCCGACCGTGGACGTAGGTTGTTGTCGAACCACGTACAAATCTTTGTGTTCTTTGTGTGGTATGTTTACTTTTCTATCGTGATTCTTGATTCAACTTGGGGTTCGTTGCGTTTGTCATAACAAACTGGTATCAAAGCTTTCGGTTCGAAGCAGGGATGTCGTCCAAGTTACTAGAAATCGAGAAGTTTAATGGCAGAAACAATTTCAACCTGTGGCGGGTTAGGATGCAGGCTTTGTTGGTTCAACGAGGGTTATCCAAGGCGTTAAAGGGGAAGGATG